ATATTATTATATTTCCCTTTATATTATATATATATTATCTCAAGACATCTGTTACACTAATGGAAAGCTGGTAACACACCTGAGCAGCACCAAAGAACTCAAACACAGCCCAGAGGTGGAGCCTTGGGCAAGCTTAGATCTACCCTCTGCAGACACTGAGCAGCTTTGGGTTCCACAGTCCAGAGACCTAGTGTCCACCTGTTCAGGCCAAGCCAGGGACAGCCCTAAAGTGCCAGGTGCCCCAGCAGGTGCTGGCATGAGGTGCCCAGAGGTAGAACAGGTCCCTCGCACCTGCTAGGTGAAGCAAAGTGACAACAACCCAGAACCTAGAGATCTTAAAAGAGAAGAGACTCAAGGGAATGAACGAGGCAAATGGAAGAGGAAGAGAGACCATGAACTTAAGAATAGATTGTCCACAGGACAGAGAACACAGGAAACAGAGATGGCAGGACTCCAGTTGTGGAGGTCAAGGGTTTGAGGGTTTGGTACAAATTGCAGACGGTGGGCAGAACTGGCCACATCTGCCTTCCAGCCCCTGCTCACATCTGAGGTCAGACAGGGCTGCCACAGCCAAGACAGCCCTTTGTCCCTGCTGGTGATGCAGGCAGCAGTGGGCAGGGAGCAAGAGTGGAAGAGATTGAGGCAGGCAGACCTGGAAGAGTGGTGGCTTTGGCCAGTGCTTCTCAGGTGAGATGACTCAAGAGGGAACATGCGCCATTCTGCCACAAGGAGCTGGGCCTATCAGGGACAGTCTAGAAAGCTCAGCAGGGGACCTGGGACAGGAGACAGATGGCAGCTGGACAGCAAACTTCAGGGCAGTGCTGGCACAGGATTCACAATGTTGAGTTCTCGAACACCAAGGCCTGAAGGACCAAAGTGTCCGAGGGAGTAGTACTCAGAGGTTCAGGGTGGAGAGGAGAAGTGGAGAGATGCAAGGTGGCCCAGAGATTGGTGTAGGCACCAAGGGCCTTGCAAGGGTACTTGGAGGAGGGCAGGGAAGAGTCCACTTGTCCAAAGGTGTGGCTGAAGGGGAAGAAGGGCCAGACTCAGGGAGGGGCAGACAGACTGAAGGAAGCATGGAAGGGTGACGAGTTTCCCGATTCTTTGGTTTTATTCACATGATGATGGGAACCATACCTGAATGGAAAACACAGGCACACAGAGCTGGACAGGGTTGGGCAGACAGCAGGGTTGGGTGGGCCACCTCAGTGGACTCATGACAGGGGAGACCCAGGGCCTGTGCCCCTTGTGGAATTTTCTTCCACAGAAATGGGCCAGAAGCTTGGGGAGCAGGTGGCTCCCAGACTGCTTGGCATTTCTACAACAGACAGACTCCCAGTGCCAGTGAACTACATGGGACAGTCAGCAGTGACAGGGCCTTTCTCCTGGGAAGACAAAATGGTCCCGCCAGATGGACAAGCAGTGGATCCATACAGGTTAGCAATGGGGCCCAAAAGCCCAGGAAGAGAGGAGTTCTCCTTTCATTGAAAAACCAAAGCAAAACCCAAACCCCCTGCACCTGTTGGAGACACAGCTGGGGTCATCTGATTACAAACGGCCCTGAATTTCAGACAGTCACTGAAGCCCTCACACCCCTTGGACAGACATGTAACTGCTAGAAAAGCAGCTCTCTCAAAGTGGGTGTGGAGGCTCACTCCTATAATCCCAGAACTCTGGGAGGCTGAGGCAGGAGGATCATAAGTTTGAGCCCAGCCTGGACAAGTTAGTGACTTAGTGAAACACTGTCTCAAAATTAAAATCAGAAAAGGGCTGGGGATGTAGCTCAGGGAAAAGGCTCTGGATTCAATTAAAGAGAGAAAGAAGACAGAAAAGAGAAAAAAAGAAAAGGAATGAAGGAAAGATAGATCAGCTTTCAAACTCTCCAGATAGGGCAGCTGCCACAATTTAACATTTCAGTTCTTCCAGAGAAAAATGCTGGACTAAATTTAAGGCTTTGCAGAATCCTCAGGTGAAGTTCATAGCTGAGCAGAGAGCCCAGCTGAGTTCAGACTCATCCAGGAAAAGTGCCTGACCGTCCTGGGGAAAGTGTGGATGGCCATGGAGGAGACTTTCAAGGTATAATCACTGCTAGGGGGTATTTTTCATCTCTAAAACAAATAGAAATATTTTAATGGTTTCAGATACTGTATGTATCAAAATTGTCACCAGTGCATGTCATTAATTCTTCCAAACTTTACTTTTCTCCTTTATGAGAAAAGCCCTTTCTTGGCCTAAATCTCCAACAGCTGTTGGTCATTAATTTTTTTCCCAGAAATGACACGCCTTTCACTCACTTGGTGAGTGGCTCCTGATGAACTATCTGTTCTAGATACTCCAGGGCATTGGTTTAAATCACCAGAGGCTGTGACTTCTCCCAGGCAGATACAGACGTGGTGGCCACACACAAAGGTATTATATGCAAGGATTTCTTCATCAATTACAGCATATATAGAATTTCACTTTCAAAACAACAAAAATGATAGTAAAGATCATGCAGATCCACATGCAAACAGAATATGATTTACAGAAACAAAATCCAGGAGGGCCATCCCAGAAAGGACTGGGGACCAACAGATGGACAGAGGCTTCCAGAGGCTGGCTGCACTCAGGGGCTGGATCTTCCCAGAAGAAATCCAAGCAAGGCCCAGGCAGCAACTACACTGCAGACTCTGCAAGATAATGACATAGATGAGAGGCGCGAAGAGCAAGGTCCGCCCGTGATCTCCGCAGGTCTGTGAGCACCACACAGTCACTCTTGTTTCTCCCAACTCCATTCACCTGAATGTACTTTCTTTTCACCACTCCCTAGGGCCAACACTAAAGTTCTGCCTCCCAGAGTCAATGGCCCTGGGATTTCCTTGGTGATTTAGATCAGAGGTCTAAAGGAGGACCCAGGGATGCCTGGAAATAATTTTTCTTCCATAATGCTGCCCACTAGAGGGATGGCTCCTATCCATCCAGAATCCTCAAAGCTGTAAGTCCATCTTCTGGATCACTCAGCCCCAAATCTTGCATGCATCCTTGACCCTTCTTGGGTCTCTTACTGGCTCCCCCTCAGCATCCACAGCTGCCCAGGCAGGAGCACCTGGCTGCATGCTTGCTTCCCAAGACGCCCTTCCCTCTGCCTGGACTGCAGCCCATCTCAGCACCTAAGACAGCAATGCTTTGAAAATACAAGCTGGATTCCTGTCCTTCCTCTGCCCAGACCCTAGTGGTCCCTGACTTCTTCCAAGACTGAGGCCCACAATCCTCACCTGTGCAGCCCCAACGGGGCAGGAATAGTTCTGCCTCACCTGTTTCACTCACCGTGGCTTCAGTGGCGCTCAACAGGCTAGATGCCTCCCCACTCAAGGGCTTTGCCCTGCAGCCTCTCAGCCCAAACAATGTTCCCAGAGTGCACTGCCTGGCTCACCTCCTCCCCTGAGTTTTTAATAAGACCTCCCCATCAGCTCCTTTGAGTCCAGCCCTCCTTCCAGGACTCTGCCACCCGCCAACCTACACTCATCTTTAACAAATGTTTGTCCCTCATGCATACAGTGTACTTGCTTATTATGTGTGTTTTACCTTCTAATGGCTAGCATGTGGGACTTTGATTTTATTCACCAATTAATCCATAGAGCCCTCCTCAGCACCTACCATTGCAGATGCCCAGTTATTTGCAGAATATACTGAACAATCTTCTGTCTACTGTAGTTGTCAACAACTCCTTTACAATCAACACCAGCTAGTAAGATGGTGAGGTGGCTAGTGAGGTGAATCAGACCAAACAGGGACCCAAATGGGCGAAGAGCAGCTCCAGCCTGGGCACTTACTGTAGCATGCAGTTGACGTTGGGGGAGTGTCTCCAGTACCGGTACAGGGAGACCTGCAGGGTCGGGTGACACCTGTACTCCTTCAGGACACTGCGGACACTGCCAAAGAAGTTCACCTGGGTTAGCAAGCAACACATCACACCAGCTGCTATACTCGATCAAGGTGGGGATGGGCAGAGATGGGTGGATGCAGGCCAAGGTGGGCTCAGAGGCACGTACTCCTTAAACTTATTGGTCAGGAGCAGGAACTGGCTTTGAGTGAGCCGTCTGACGTCGAACTTGCAGAGGTTCTGGAACTCGCCGTAGACTTGCTGCTCACTCACCCCAGGCCACTTCCTGACAGTGAGGATGAGGATGGGAGGCCGGATACTGGGAAAATCCGGGCCCGAGAAGTTCTAGAAAACATGAAGAACAAAGGAGACTTCCCACAATTCTTACTACATCTCATGTGTTTGAAAATACTACTTAAGAGCTCTCTTGCCATTGTTCGAGGCAGCCCAGCAGCTCTTTCCCCAATAAAGCCCTGCCTCGGGTCAAAAAAAAAAAAAAAAGAAAATACTACACAAGAGTAGGAAAGGCTTTGACAGGGGCTGGGAGCAGAGAAGAGGGGAGGGAAGAAGGAAGGAGTAAGGTCAGGTGAGTTTTGGTGGAAAAGTAAGAAATAAAAAGCTTCCCGGGGTGTGGATACCCTCCAGCTCTTACCTCGGTGCTCTCAGAGCCCCTCTAGCATATCCCTGAGGATACCAGCCCACCTCCCACCAACGGCTGAGGAAGCTGAGTGAAACCTACTCACAATTTTAGGGACCCCCGCTCGGATAAGATTCACTTGGTTCACGTAAGGAGCCAGCACATCAAGGTACTGCGGGAAGGAGGGCTCAGACGTGGGAACATGGCTACATAGACAGAGAAGTCCCCAGGACACTCAGGCATGTGGGCGTTTATTCACACTTCCTCAACCATAGCTAAGGAACTGGTGATGAACAGGGAGGGTGCTGGCCAAATCACTCTTCCTTCCACCCCTCATGAGTCCTGGGCTTATGTCAGGGGGCTTCCTCCAACTAGCCAACTTCCAAGTGCCCTCTCCAGGACCCAAACAGAAGCAGAGCTTCTGGAGAGTCACCATCCATGGGTGACAGTTTGGGAACAAACTCTCTGCTGACCAGCACTGCAACAGGCTCAGAGAATGTGCGAGAGGCTGCTGTCTGGAGGAAGTGCACTTTATCATCCTTTGGCACCATGTCATCCTTGATTCTAAATGGTCACTTCTTGCCCCAGAGTCTCATTCTGCCACCAGCGCCCCTCTGTCCAGGTACTACCAAAGTTCAGACCCTCAGAGCAGCTCAAGCCAGGGAATCAGGCAGGCCTGAAGCCATGGACCTCTCTAAACCCAGGACTGCTTCTAGGTCATGAGGACAAATGAAAACACAGTGTGAAAGGCCCCAGGCCAGGCATGGTGCATCCCTGCTGAAGGCACCAACCTCCCTACCTAGCACACACTACCTGCCACCTACCAGTGGGCACTAAACACTATCAAACTGCAGGAACGAGGGAGACAGGCTGGCAGATTTCCCACATAAGTCATTAGCCTCACATCAGTGTGTCATAGGATATTTGTATTTATCATATCCCAAACAGGCAAATACAGGCAGTACAGGCAGGTTATAGCCAAAATGTGTTCCTAAGACAGTCCTGAGGAACAGGTTACAACTGTGACTAGCTTCTTCACCAGGCCTCCTAAGTGCTACTAATGTCTAGCCCTAGGACAGTGCTGTAGGATGAATGTGTAAAATGTACACTTGTTTCCAGTGTGTCCAGTGCTGGAGGAATCAGGAATGCTGCTGCCATGCAAACCTCTCCCCAGGGGTACCTTACTCCAAGTCACTGTGTTTGCCCCACCTGACTATGTGAACCCCAACAATGTGCCATGCAACAGCCTGAACTCCTTGTCCTCCTCCCTTGCTGTGCTTTACAGTTACGAGGACACATGACAGAGGAACATACCAAACTGGACGTAACTGAGACAGGTATTAGAAGCACCTCTTGGGTCCCCTGACATCAGTGAATTCTCCTAATTCGAAGACAAGGGCCAGGGGCCATGACCCACCCAGAAAGCAGGCAGGAGTGGTACGAAAGGGCCCCCATGGATGAAGGCCACATGTCTGCAACCACTGTGCTAGCTGCTGCCCAGGCAGAGGCACGGTATCTACCCATACGACATGGCACCTTCTCTTTGGTGGCTCTGGGACCCAGGAAGTCTTGAGTAAAAGGGACTCACCAAGTCCTGACCATGGAATGAGCAACAGGATGAAAGGAAGAGACACTCACCCGTGCACTCTCTGCAGGAGGAGGTGTGCCACTTTCAAAAGAACTGGAAAAAAAAGCTAGAGGTGTAATGGACCTTGAGATCTTAGCAAAACATGCAAACTCCTGTTAGGCCTAACCCAATAGGAAATAAACAATAATGCAGGGACAGCAAAGGCTTAACACCAATGAAAATGGGTCTTCTCTAAAAGGGACCTCAACTCTTACCTGACCCACACAGGAAGGCATCATATCCCGCTTCATGGGGGCACTTTTTCTTGGCTGAAGCATTTTCCCGTAAGTAGGAGAGATAGTGAACAGGTATTAGAAACAGCCTGGGAAAACTCACCTCAGCCTTAGATCAGTGTTCACAGCAGCTGCCACATAGATGACCACCAAGGCTGTGTTCACCCCTTTCCCTGCTCACAACTCAGTGTCTCCCCACCCGTCCTCTCCAAGTGGGGAAGGTCCAGGACTCAGAGCTTCCTGACTGGACAGACCCCACCCCAAGGAAATGAGCAGCTCCCAGCCTTGGATGTGATCTGCGATGGTGCATCTCGGAGGTGGGAGTTGTAGGGAGCAGGGCAAGGCAGGCAGTGGAGGAAACCTATACACTTCCACAGCCTGCCACCAGGGTCCAGGAAGTCCTCATCTCAGTCCATAACGGTGGGAGGGGACATACCATATTTTTCACATTTGTTTCCATGAACAATCACTGGTGCAGAATCCTTGGTGGGATTCAAGTTACTATTAAAAGAAAAAAAGTAAGACAAATGATCCTTTCTTACTCTCCTCCCAGTCTCTTAAATTATAAAGGTATGTCCTCAGGGGTGTGTGGGTGTGTGTGTGTGGGTGTGTGTGTGCGCGCGCGCGCAGGCATGCCAACACATATATATGCGAATATATATATATATATATTTTTTTTTTTTTTTTTGCAGTACTGGGGATTGAACCCAAGGCCTTCACACTAAGCTATATTCCCGTGTGTTTTTGAGACAAAGTTCAGAATGGGCTCAAATTTGTGATCCTCTTGCCTTAGCCTCCCAAAGTGCTGGGACTATAAGTGTGTGACACCACACCCAGTTAGCACATACTTTTTTTTTGTTGTTGGTACTGGGGATCGAACTCTGGTCCTTGCTCTTGTGAGGCAAGCAGCAGAACCACTGAGCTAAATCCCCGGCCCCAGCACATACACTTTTAAAAGCCACAGCTCTAGATATGGCAGAGATAGTCTTAGTAACTAGGCAACAGAATAGGTGAAAGATCAGCCAGGTGAAAGGGTCCACCTGGACATTTACATTCTAGGCATTGAACAAACTTAGCCTGAGCCCAGGCACCAAGACAAATAGGACACTGCCTCTGCCCTCCAAGCTTGCTGTCTAGTGTTCTGAGTGACAAACAGATGCATTGTGTCCATGTCCTGTAGATGCAATGCTGAGCCTTAGACAGTGACTCCAGGGTCCTTGGGGCTAAAGGCTCCCTGAAGCAGGCAGTACTAAAAGTACCCAGGCCACAAAAACTCACCCAGTTGAAGGAACAGAGTAATGACAGACATTTCAAGCCAAAGCAAGAATGGGCAGTGACAGGCAGGAACAGACCCAGGCCTGACCAGGTGCCTGGAAGGATGGTAAAAGCCCCCTCGTGAAGGGCAAGCCCAGGCTTGGGAGGAGCTCCTATGACACAAGAAGCTGCAGGAAGCACCAAAAGATCTGTCCCAGAAAATGGCCCAGAGAGTTTCAAAGATCACACGAGTGTGGGAAATGAAATAGGACAGGACACCATCTGGAATACCAGTGAGGGCTGCCACCATGACTGGAACAACAGCAATGCCCCTGAACATGCAGAGAAAGGGAGAACGTAGAGAGCTTTATGGAATAATATTATTTGGACTTGACCAACAAACAGACCTTGGTAGCTTAGCTCTGGGACCATTTGGCACTGGGGCAAGAGGGATGGTGACAGCATCTAACAGTAAAACATTCACTGTCTTTGCTTTTCCGCAAAATTTTTTAAAACTCTGAGTCCTGAGCCTCTCTGAGCCCTACTTTTCTCTTCTGTAAAGCAGGTCTGATGACTGCACCTGTGCCATAAGTAGCTGTGAGGATCACAGAGGTCATCTATAGGGCCAAGGATTTAGCTCAGTGGTGCCGCCGCCTGCCTTGCAAGAGCAAGGTCCCGAGTTTGATCCCCGGTACCAAAACAAAAAGCAAAAAACAAAGGTCATCTATAAATGTGGCCAAGCCATTCATAGCTTCGCCTGCAATCCTAGCACTGAGGAGGCTGAGGCAGGAGAAGTCTGCCTGGCTACATAGTGAGACCCTCTCTCAAAAAACAAAAGCCCACACGAAACAGTTGCAGCCCTCTGCTAACATTTAATGAAATGGACTAAGAGCAAGGCTTTATTCTAAGTCTTCCCACAGGGACAAACTGAGTTAAGCCTGTCAACAACTTTGTGAATTACAAAGAGTTTTTTTCTCCTATTTTGCAGATGGTGAAACTGAGGCCCAGAGAGAGGACATCATTTTCTCAAGGTAACTTACTAAACAAGTGAGTGGCAAAGAAAACAAAACAAAATAAAAATTGGTCTCTCTGGCCCCCACCTCATGAACACACAGTACTCAGGATTGTGCCTGGTACCACAAAGACTCAGGCAGATGTTCCAGGCACTGGCGTGGGCTTATGAGACACAGACAAATGTCCTGTTGAAGGGACCTGCAGGTAACACAGAGCAGGATCACCAAGGGGCCCCTGGACACAGTAAGGAGTAAGAGGAAGGTCAAGGAGAGGCCCAAGACAGAATTGAAGAGATGAGTAGAGGGACACGTGGGAACAGATGACCCACCCCACCCCTACCAAAAAGAGAAATCCAGGAAGGCAGCAGCACAGACCGGGGCTGCGAAGGACTTGGCCATACCCCAATCTGAACACCTTCCGGCCATCGTCCTGACAGCTAAGACACAGGTAAGGGGGGGTGGGGGGGCACATGAAGAGGGAAATTCATCAAGGGCAAGAAATCCTGATGGTGAAGGTGACACAGAGACTGCTACCTGGATTGCTACCCAGAGCAGAGCTGTAACCATATCTCCAGGTAACAGCAGCAGTTGCCTCACCACTGCCTCTCCATCCAAGACATAGCAACAATCTCAGTCTCCTACCCCAGCCCACAATTTTCAACACAGACCCCTGTCCCACTCCTGCATGGTAATGAGGACTGAACCCAGGGCCTGTACACTGAGCTACATCCCCAGCACTTTTTTTTTTTTTTTTTGGTACCGGCGATCAAACTTGGGACCTTGCACTTATGAGGCATGTGGCAGAACCACTGAGCTAAATCCCCGGCTTCTTAGTTGCTAATTTTCTCAGGCTGATTTCTAACTTATGATCCTCCTGCCTCTGTCTCCCAGAGTTCTGGTATTACAGGTGTGCACCACCATGCTTGGCTTGGTTTTTAAGTGCTGGTGCTGAGAGAAATCAGGGGGAGAGACTGAAGACCTCTGGAGGAGGTCAGGGTGAGTTCTGCCCACCTGGCTCACATAAGGCATTTGTGTTCATTAGAAGAGACAAGAAAGATGACAGGAAAGCAGAAATGTTCAGGAGAGCAGGGCAGGGAGTGGAGAGTCCTGCCTCCGGCCTTGTCCTTTCTTCTTAGAAACGGGGCCCAAAGGCTGTCTGGTCTGAGCACAGAAGCAGCAACCAGCCATCCCTGCTCCAGAAGCACCTTGAGAAACACCTTGCTCACCTGTTCAGCACTTCATATACTTCCAAGAGGTTGGAAACCCGAGGGAAATGCAGTTCCTGCAATTGTAGAAAACAAATCGGGGAGAACAAAACATTTGTACTTCTGGCTATCATGTGCTTTAGGTCTTACCAAAGACCTAAAGTAACCTGGAAAATGCTCACTCCTATAGGCCTCCTCTTCTTCCCACATCCTCACCACCCTTGCTTCTTAATTACAGCGTCAGGGAACCAGCACCCTAGAGCATCCCAGAGGGGTTCCCAATGCCAGGCTAGAGTGAAGTGTCCACCAACACAACACACTCCATCTCCCTCAGCAGACAAGTTTAAGGGATTCTGTAAACACAGGAATCAGAGGCACCGGATGGAGACTTGGCCACATTCATAGGATACTAGGGACGAAGGGGCCTTGGGGGAGTTTGTCAAAGCTAGAAATACATGAAACACAAATATGAAGAGCTTCCCTAGGCAAAGATACATCCAGGAACCTGTTCCATTTGTTGGCTCCCTTCTTGAATAATTCAATCTAAGTTGTTACCCTAAGGCTTTAAAACACTGATCTGATTCCCTTCTCTTCTCCTTAGTGTCTAGGCAGCATTTAAGGCAGTTGGGTCCTTCCTTTCTCCACACATAGTACACAACCCAGTGATACAGGAGAATTACCTGGGGGCTGTCAGAACACCACCTGGCCCCATCTTAGACCCCACCTGAACACACAGTGGAGCTGGGCCAGTTTATAACTCCCCAGTGATTCGGATTCACTGGCAGGGTGAGGGCCCATAACCTCAGGGCTTGGCAAAGACATGTTCCTTAGCACTTTACAAGAAGGGACCTAGGGCTGGGGATTTAGCTCAGTGGTTTTGTCGCCTCCTGCGCAAGTACAAGGACCCAAGTTCGATCCCTCATACAAAAAAAAAAAAAAAAGGAAGGACCTAACCCTGGTGCTCTGTAAGCACATCCAAAATGTTTACAAAAAATGTACAAGCTCCAAAATAAAATGTTCCATTGTGCCATGAGAAGCACAACAATTACATACAAACAAATCAAAACCTGGGAACTTAGGCCAGGGATTTAGCTCAGTGGTTATGGCACCTGCCTCACAAGCACAAGGTCCTGAGTTCAATCTCCGGTACCAAATTAACAAAAAACAAACCTGGGAACTTGAATGAGGGAAAGAAAAAAATCATATATAAGCTAATAATGATCACCAATAGGTGCCAAAATATAAAAGAAAACTGAGCCCATTTTGGTTTTGTTTGGCTTGGTTTCTTTGAGACAGGGTCTTGCTATGTAGTTCAGGCTGGCCTTGAAGTCACTATGTAATCCAAGCTGGCCTTGAACTTGTGGCAATCCTCCTGCCTCAACCTCCCAAGTGCAAGGATTATAGATGTCTGCCACCATGCCCTGCTGATGCAGGTTTTAAAAGAGAATTCAAAGAAAAATTAGAGAGAGCACTGAGTGTACCGATATGAAAAAGAGCAGTCCTTACCCCAAAGTAAATTCTATTCATTACCTTCCAGATATCCTTTGTAACATTCTTGGTGTCAATAAGAACAGGAAATAGATTGTGGATATTCTGCTTAAACTGATCATAGCTTTCTGAGGAGAAAGATCCAAACAGTAAAAAGTGAGTTAGTTTGTTGGGAAAGATGGGAAAGAACCATTCTCTACCCCTGCAAACAAAACAAAACAGAAATTGACAGCACCCTCAATCCTAACCATCAAAGATTTCTAATCAGAAACCAAGCTGCCATCACCATGTTTAACTGTACAGGCCAAACTGGAGGGGTTGAAGGGAGGGCTGGGCAAGGGTGAAAAACAAGAACCAAGAGAGACTATGTAAAGGTGCAAATTTCCAATGATGAATGTCATTATATTGTATACCTAAAATGTACCAATGATTAGAATGAATAATTGATAATGTAAAATAGGAATAAAAGGTCCAAAGGGGTAGGGGTAGTGGGAGGCACAGGGGAAAGGAAAGAAGGGAAAGGGAAAAATGATGAGAAATGGAAAAAATGGAAATAAAGTCTTTGTAAATAGGGAAGGGTAGAGGGCGTGAAGGGAGGGCTAGGAATGGGGAAAAAATAAGAACCAAGATGCATTATATAAAGGTACAATTCCCAATGAGAAATGTAATTGTGTTGTATACCTACAATGTACCAATAAAAGAATTTAATACAAAAAAAAAAATTGTACAGGCCAAGTGGTTTTCTATTAGACTCAAGATATTTTCTACTGCCAACATCAGCTATCACAGTGTGAGAAGCTCCAACCAATGGGATGAGAGAGGGAGAGACAGGGATATTTTGGGAAGGCAGATCTGAAGCTATCATTTATAAATGACTGTTTAGTTAAAATCCAAGAAAAATCAAAGTCATTTTAGTGAGAGATAAAATACCATGATGAGAGAAAAAGATTTTAAAAGAAATATTAATTGCTGAATTTATCAAAGTAATACTTGCACATACTTTAAAAATGTTTATTGTGAATAAAACAAACAAATCTCCAAAATACCCACCTCTCAAACAAAAAACCCGAGACCTTCTTCCCACTGCCCATTTCCTCCCCTAAACAGCATCTGCTTTCACTTTTCCCTTGGGTGTTTATTCTCTTGTCTCTAAGTGACACATGTGTGCTGCAGTCTTAGGCCCCTCACCACTGACTTCCCAACAGGGAAGAAGCAATGTCTCCTCATCCCGTGCACCCCTGCACTCGACCCCGCCACACCAGTCGCAGCCTCTCATCTCTACAACCCTGGGTACCTTGCATGAAGGGCCCTATGCTGGCTACCATGAGTCCTATTTTCTTACACCATTTATTTCTTTTCTAGTAAATATTTTGTTTTGCTGTTTACTCAGTATTTTATTGTGTATTATTAATTTACCTCTAATTCTCCCCCATTTCTCTCAGTATGTTCAAACTCAGGCATCCTGTTAATTCATGTCTTGGGGAGATTCCTCATAGATTTTGGGGTTTTGTTTTGTTTTTTGAGACAGGGTTGCATTATGATGTAGTTCAGGCTAGCTTTGAATTCACTATGTAGCCCAGGCTGACCTCAAACTTGCACTGATCAGCCTGTCTCAGCCTCCTGAGTGCTAGGATTACAGGTGTGCACTACCATGCCCGGCCATTCTAGAGCTTTCTTACCCCTTTCATCTAGTGTTCTCTACACATTTATTGGTTCACTTAATCCCACACCAACACTAATACGTTACTGTTATCCTGTCTTAAAGGTAACCAGGGAAGATAAAGTAACTTGCTGGAAGTCATGAAGATAACAAGGGGTGGATGAAGAATCCACCGCAGCTCTGGGGTCCCAGCTATTAACCATCATGATGCCCAGCTGTATGTCCAATGTCCAACACAGAACCAAAAGTGGAAAGAAAAGGGGTATGGCCATAAGCCAACATCATGGGACATCCACTAAAGTGACATTTATTAGTTTCTGACAACATAAAATAATGCTATGGATAAATACAGGAAAAATCCTGGGCCCAGAATTTAGCTCAGTGGCCCTGTGCCTGCCTCACAAGCACAAGGTCCTGAGTTTGATCCCCAGTACCAAAAAAAAAAAAAACCAGAGAAAAAATCCAAACAATGTGTAAAAACTTGCAACAGAGGAAAAAGCCAAAAGCTTTAGGATTTCTGCTGCAATATCTCCTTCACATGTTTTTGATTTTGCCAAATTTACACAACGAGCCCGGGCAACTTTAGTAATGAAGAGAGAGGTATCAGTTCCAGTTTAGGCTTTGCTTTCTTCCTTGAGGTCACCTCTTGGTTTCTGCCCCAGAAAGATCTGAGGACAAGACCCTACCCAGGTTCTCTAGAAATCTATGGACACTGGGGAAAATGGGGCAGAGGGCAAACTAGGGTAAAAGAAAGGAGAACAACAGGTCTGTCCTTACCTGGGAGGGGTCTGAAGAACTTCTCATGGAGATGCAGTAGATCCATCATCATGTTATGCCCCACTAAGGGCTACTTGGAATAAATCAACAAGTGAGACAAATGAGATTTAAAACATAATAAAGACAGACACTATAGACCAGTGGTGGTGAACCTATAGCATACGTGCCCCAGCGGGTTGTTTATATCACTGAAAGCTCTAAAAGGTTTGCCTTCACTGCCAAAGACTAATGGCAGTTTCTTGCAAATGATGTAGCTTCAGAACCAACTTCGATTCTGGTCACTTGATAATTCCATCCCCAGTCTCATTCTGCTCCCATGTAAGGTAGGAGGACTGCTTAGAGGAGAAAAAGCAAGGAGGGGACAGAAGGGTCTTAAAACAGGGTCCACAGTGAGAATCTAAACTGTTTGTTTGGATTTTTTGCTTGTTTGTTTCTGAAGCAGGGTCTCACTATGCAGTTCAGGCTGGCCTTGAAATCACTATGTAGCCCAGGTTCAAGGCTGGCCTTGAACCCAGGGCAATCCTCCTGCCTCAGCTTCCCAAGTGCAGGGATTATAGGCATGCGCCACAACTCTCAGCTGAGAATCTAAACCATGCAGAAAGTACACGTACAAAAAAAAGAAAAGGAAGTACACATGGTTCTCCAAATAGTTTTAGGTAATTAGTGTTGAAATCCCTGTGTTATTGAAAGGGACAAAGAATGTAATATTTCACGTGTAGAGTCCTTCACCAAATTAACCAATCATGATTTGTTAAAAATGAGGTTAGGACCAGGAAGCCAGTTATCAGAAGGAATCACTCATTTTTTTAAAAAAATCTAATTTTACTGTTAAAGAATCCTTCAACAGGGCCGGGGATTTAGTTCAGTGGTTCCGCTGCCTGCTGCACAAGCGCAAGGACCCGAGTTCAATCCCCAGTGCCAAAAAAAAAAAAGAATCCTTCAACACCTATGGCCAGAATTACAAAGGATTGTGAAAAGCCAAGAAAAAGCTATTTTTCCCTACCTTCTGGGCTTGCACCAACATCTGGAAAAAGACAGAAAAACCCCTTGCAGAGAGAAGAATCTGCTCTTTCCAACAGCTATCTCGATCACCAGAGGCGTGCTCAAGGTACCAGCGATGCTGCTGGCTCACCTTCTTCACTATCACCTGAAATGAAAAAGCAGACACACAGGCCTGGAATCCTAGGTCACTGGAAATGAAGCCTAGAAAAAGGATCTTCATCTCAAAATGAAAGGAAGAAAACAAAAGCACTTGAGAAAAGCCTGTCACAGAGGGCACATGAGGCTGAATGAGAGGGGACAGAGTTGCTAAGGATGCCTGTTCCCAGGGACAAACTCACCCCCCGGTCTCTCAACACTGTCCAGATGTTGGGCAGGGCCTGCCTCAGCACCAGCTGCACCTCAAAGGCCTGGAACCCTGCACAAGGAAGCACAAAAGCACACACAGAACTGGAGCAGCACCGCACCTTCTCCATGAGAGAACCCCAAGAACAGGAGCTGCTGAGAGATGCTTGGAAATAGGTGGATTGTGTGGAAAGGCAGCTTTCAGGGACACCCAAGCCCACCAGCCACATGATGTCACATGGCCTGTCGTGATGTTCCAGGGAAGCATTCTCAAAGTTTCTGATCTCAAGGACATTCAAATTGGGCACTCCAAAGAATTTTAATTTCTGTGGGTTATAGTTACTGACATTAGCCACGTTAGAAATTAAAACTCTAAGTTTAAAAATTTCATTTTTGAAATATGAAAAAACTATTTGCCAAAATAAAAAAAATTAGCCGGAAGAGTGACACAGTGCTGGGCATAGTGGCACATGCCTGTAATTCCAGCTAACAGAGGCAGAAGAATCAGAAGTTCAATGTCAGCCTGGGCACCTTAAAAAGACTTTGGCTCGGGCCGGGGATTTAGCTCAGTGGTTCTGATGCCTGCCTTGCAAGCACAAGGACCCACCCAAGTTCGACCCCCCCCCCAACCCACCCCCGGGACGTAAAAAAAAAAAAAAAAGAGTCTTTGCCTCAAAATAAAAAGTAAAAAGGCTGGGGATGTAACTCGGAGGTAGAGTGCTCCTAGGTTTCATCCCCAGTACTGCAATTTTTTTTTAAAAAGCTTGATTATTTCACATTTTTGCACCTAGCTGTTTTGCATCTAATCTACTAATCTGCTGTGATATGTTGTGCTCACTGAAATATACAGAGAAAATCCAAATATACAGATGGGTAAATGGACAGGGAAGAGATAATAGCCTTCTCAAATGACTTTGGGTTTTCTTTTTTAATATTATGTAAATCCAACACACAGTAGTTTTAAAGGTCAGCTATTTTATGCAGTCTAAACCCATTATTAATAAACTTTCTAGCACCATAACATTAAACCCTACTGGCCTGTTTTGTATTTTGAATGGATTTTTTTTTTGGCAGTACTAGGGATTGAACCCAAGGCCTCTGCACTGAGCTATATTCCCCACTCGTTCTTATTTTTTTCACTTTGAGACAAAGTCTGAGCCACTAAATTGCCCAGGCTGGCCTTAAACTTGCAATCCTCCTGCCTTAGGCTTCCAGGGAGCCAGGACTACAGGCATGTGCCATCTCATTCAGTCCTTGAATGGGTTTTTTTTAATGGATTTTTAAACCATGATTTTGTAACAGCATGCACCGGTTACTTGGAAGATACTGGTTTGCAGAGTTATGCAGATCTTCCAAATGTTCACACATTTGACTACACGATACCAACAAAAGCCATTTGTACCTATGACTACTGATCTTATCAGAAAGGCCTGTGTTGGAAAGCTGTCAAACTTATGGTGGCAGATCCAAGTTTTTCCAGTTTTTTATGGGAAGCTTGAATTTTATCACTAGCAAATACTTTTGAGTTATTTTCCTTGAAGTTACAGGCCTACTTTTTCCAGTAAGAAAATACCCATATCTAAACAACTACAATCAGTTTTTACCAGTAAAAATATTCCAAGAAAAAAAAAAAAAACAGCTGAGCCTGGAGCTGTAGTGTAGCACAGTGGTACAGCACTTGTCTACCAAGTATGAGGCCCTGGATTTGATTCTCAGCACTGGGGAAAAGAAACAAAAACAAAAAACCAACAGCTAATTCAGTTCTCAACTCTGAAAACTGCAGAGTGCTTTTTCTCAACAGAACTACTAAAGGAATATTATCAATATACTTATCTTTTTCTATACTTCTATTGACATAAAATATTTAAGAGAATCCAAAGGTGGAGACTTAATAGAACTATGAATATTAATTACTTCCTCACCGAGGAGGTTCTTAAGTAAAATTGGCTTTTTTAAAAACTGAGAATAAGGGCCAGGGATTTAGCTCAGTGGCACCATGCCTGCCTCATAAGCCCAAGGTCCTGAGTTCAATCCCTGGTACTGGAAATAAAAACAAACAAACTGAGAATAAATGGCAATGAAGGATGCAATGATTACCAGCATGATTTGATGCTCTTATATAACTTAATTCCTGCTAAAATGATAGCAGGTTTAATCACCATCACTAAAGAACACAGAAAAATGGTTCAATGACAACAGCAAGTCATTGCTAAGTGATACTCTGAAAATAGTCCTGACCTTATAGACCCCATAGCTAGGGTCTCAGAGACCAACAAGGTCCAAAGACTAGGCTCTGAGAACTGCCACACCAGGGCATATGCATTGAGGGCAAGTAACAAAAGTCAGTAACAGAAAGCACTCAGGATGGACTTCAAAGGATGGCTCATAAATGAACTTGACTTCTTCAGCCTTGAAATTCAAAGTAAATTCCAAAGGCTTTGACTTTTGAATTCAACTCACCATTATATAACCCTGAGGACTAGGCATGTGCCGAGCAAACACTGGCATCAGACTAATACATGGTATTTGAGACCAGGATCTGTAGCAAATTTGTTCCCCAGTTCTTGTACATGACTATGACCTGTTCCCATGATCCCACATTGGGAGAACAGCCTGCTCCCTACCAGCAATACCAGGCAGAGTCATCTGGTCACCTTCCTCAGCCAGGTCCAGCCACCGCGTCACCTCATTAATTACCACCTTGATTTGATCTTTATCCAGAGAGCTGAAATGGAAACATTATAGTATAAATGTTGGATGCCGGGGATTTAGCTCAGTGGTTATGCTGCCTGCCTTGCAAGCACAAGGACCCGAGTTCAATCCCTGGTACCAAAAAAACAAAACAAAACAAAAAACCTCCTATATAGTATAAATGTTGGAGAAAACCACCCCAGAATCCTAAAACAGTCTTAACAGGAGAAATTTCAGGACCTTGTGATTTTATGGAAGATGAACCAAAAAGGTCAATTATTCTCCAGGTCCTTTCATGTAGTAGGAATGTGAACCCTGGCCTATCTTCTTTCCAGGTTCCCAAGAACTCATTCAATCCCTATCTGCTTTACTGGGAGTACAGAAAAAAACAGAAAAGGGCTCTAGCCAATACTAAGAAGTACTACAGTCTACTGTGAGAACAGCAGAGACTGTCAGAACAGTCTCTACACAGCTTTCAAAGGGGTAAAGTACATACCAGCTTAGAACAAAAAGAGAAAGGCAAGAGCTCTGTAAACCTTTTCCAGTGTCAGAGAATACTCTATTAGGCTGAGATCTCACTCCAACACTTGAAAATAACAGAAGATTAAAAATTCAAATTGCTAGCAGGCATGATGCCACATGCCTGTAATCCTAGCACTCAGGAGGGTGAACCAGGAGGATTGCACAAGTTCAAGGCCAGCCTGGGCTTCATAGTGACTTCAAGGTCAACCTCAACTACAAAGTCAGATCCTGTCTCAAACAACCAAAAAAAAAAATTAAAAATAAATATAAAAATTGCTGTCAGGCCTGATGGCACATGTGCATAATCCCAGCTCCTTAGGAAGCTGAGGCAAGAGAACTGCAAACACTAGGCCAGCCTGGACAACTTAGCAAAATCTTCTCTCAATAAAAATAAAAAAGAAAGAGTTGGAGGTGTAACTCAGGGGTAGAGCAGTCCTGGGTTTGATCCCCAGTATTGACAAAAAATTTTAAAAATTGCTTTTCCCTTACCAAAACAAAACAAAAACCTGTATTTTTATATGAACACCAGCATCGAGGATGAAAAAAAGAAAGGAGGAAGGAAGGAAGAAACTCCAAACATTACACAAGATCATTATCTGAACCAGATCATCAATCATATTTCAGAGTTAAAAGTTGTCTCATTTATTCCCCTTCCCAGTAAAGAAAAAATTTGAAAGCCCAACATGCTTAAATGACTTGTTCAAAACCAATAGTTAGTTGATAGCACTGACTGACTGGGCCCTGAGCTCCTGGCTCCATTTGCAACCCAATACTATGGTCCTCACTTGTCACTCCTGCACAGGCAGCAAAAACTGCAGGGCCTAGGCCTGGCACATGGGCCAAAGAAAACAGGGGTCACAGATGAGTCTCATACACAGGCTCAGGCATGCCAGACTGGAGCAGTCTAAAGCCTGTGCCCGGCATGATTGGTATGTCAAAGTTATCTGTGAGTCACCCTGCAAACCCCTCAGAAGACCACGCTGGAGCCCAACATGGACATCGTATAGCAGGTCCAACAGAGCTGTTTCCTCCTACCCCAGCACTGGAATGAATTCCTATTTTGTTGAGTAGACTCTAAAAACCCCACTAAAAGCAGTGAGAGGTTCACATGAGAGGTCAAAAAAAGGAAGATACAGGAGGCAGTTTCTTACCTCAGCAGCAGATGGATCCAAAGCACCACAGGCCTTTAGGTCTGGGAGAGCACAGGTGACCAAAGCACGGAGGGCACAAGGTCACCGCACCCCTGGAACCAGCATATGAACCCACAGGAAACACAAAACATGGCAACAAAGAGACCAACAAAAAAGAAGCCCTACCTGCGAACTTTCCAGTTCCCTGTCAGGATACTATGCTTAATTTTCTTCTCCTGCTCTTCATTCATATATGGAATTCCTTTTTTGAGAAACTAAAACCAGGAAGAGAACAAGTGAGAGGTAGCCTCTAAGGCAGTGAGGAACAGAGTGAAGGGAAAAGAGTTTGTTCTCCCAGGAACAAGTAAGAAAAAGGACAGGAAACAGGCAGTGTGGCCAATGAGACGAGACTTTGAACACACTCTGCCCCTCCTCAAACACAGTACCTTGTTATAGTTGAAGCCATATTGATTCAAAAACTGAACACTAGATGCCTGGAAAGAGAATTCTGTGTCCAAAATCCCAAACGTTGTAGGGAAGAGAAAGAAGTTACAAGAATGGGCTATATACCTATTTAAAAAAGAAAAAGAAAGAAAAAATGTAAGGAAATTAAAAGCAGTTAAAGATAAATTTAAAAATTAAAAACAAAACAAAAAACTCACTCTAGCTCATAGAGCAGGCTTGAGTGGGCTCTTTTTCTCATTTAGGAAGGACATGAATGTCTGTAGTGTTTCAAGGTCACTGCCTGGCATTGGTGGCCAAAGGAAAAAGGCAGCACTCTCACCGTTGGGAAACAGGGTCTGCCACAGAGATGGGCCCTCAATAATCCCTCCTCTTGCCACTCAGTCCCCCTCCACTGCTGACAGGTTGGAGCCAAAGCCACCTCAGCTAAGCGTAGATGATACAAGGTTAACACAGAAAACACAGCAACAAAGAAACCAGAAAACACGTGGAGAAATAGGCCCTACCCACTGGCCTGTCCCCATAGATGGAACATCCTTCTTGATGGCCGGGGCTTGTGAGCAAACTGCTTCACAGAGTTGCACAAGGGACCATTGAATGGAGAGCAGGAGCACCTAAGAAAGATGCAGGGGAGGGGTGGTGGGGAAAGGGCCCACAGGAGGCTTGAAGAAAAACTGGAAGGGTAAGCTGGAATCTGCAGAGGACAGAACAAGGGAAGAGCTAGAAGGAGAAGAGAAAATGGAGCATCTAAGACAAAGTGACTCAGACACCTGGGGAATGACTAGAAGGCGCCAGCTGTAAAATATACATGGGAAAAAGCTCTTTATACATACATACATGTTTGACTCTCCTTCAATGCTGGAGAATACAGACAATCCTAGAAGAATGAAAACAGAAGTAATGAATCCCAAAGAAAAGCTACCTGAAGTTAACCACAAAGACAAAACATTTCCAACAGTGCTTTGATACAGGTGCTATGTGGACTGTAGAACAGGAGAACATCCTCTTGAAAAGAGGACTGACTTGAAGAATGGCAACTGTCAGATTGTAATCTGCATTGAAATTACTGAAAGCTAACTGTGGCCATTTCTTCAAAAACAAAAATCTTAAATTGACCTGCTCATAGTTTAAAAGTAACAAGCAGAAACGCCAAAAACCATAAAAACTTAACAACTTAATTGTTTATAATGTCTATATTACCAAAAAAGACCATATTCAAAGTAAAAAATATTTCAAAATGAGAGAACAGAAACATAACTAAGAGCCGTTTCCAACACTTCTCAAAGAAAAATAAAATAATTAAGAAAAAACAGATAGAAAAAACAGAGGACTAGGGTAAAAAGGAAAATACACGTACACTTGGGAACAGCTGTTCAGTGTCACTCTTAGTAAAACATGTCAGTAAAATGTGGCCCATGCTGTCTGTAAACAACATTTTATTGCAATAGTCATAATAAATGGTTTATATACTAGTGACAGCTGATTTCACAAAAGCAGGACTGAGTATGTCACTGTAACAGAAATCACATTTCCTGCAAAACCTAAGACATTTCCTTCTAACTTTCTACAGAAAAAGTTGTTGCCCCCCCGCAAAAAAGTTGTTGGCCCTGTATTACAAGATATAAGTCAGAAAAACAGATAATTTTTTCTCTATCAGGTGGGCTAAAATTTTCAGACCAATAATGCTAGATATTTGTTTGGTAAATGGGTACATTCACTACTGTTAGTATAAATTGCTAAAAAATGTTGAGGGTGGTTAATAGGAAGAGGAGTAGTTTGGTAATATACATTTAAAAAATGGGTTTTGGCAATACTGGGAATCAAACCTGGGAGCTGAAGCACACTAGGCAATCACTCTATCATGGAGCTACATTCTTAACCAATATTAATATGTTAATGGACCTACTCTGGAACTGCAATTCCACTGCAAAGTACTCAAAAATGCAGATATTCACAAAAGTACAGTAATATATAAATTCCAAGCTAGTCAATGCAAACTTAACTGTACACAAATGGCTAAACAAAAGTATTGAATTACTAAGACACTAAGTCAACAGACATATTCAGTTTGTAGTCATATAGAACTGTTTAAAATGAACAAGTCTAGGCAGAGGGTGTAGCTCAAAGAGTGCCTACCTAGTACATATGAGGCTCTGGCTTCAATCCCCAGCACCAAAAAACAAACAAAACAAAAAATAACAAGTCTGTATGTGCTGATATAGAAATATGTCCAGCTCCATCAGGCTCCATCAATTGGAGAAAAAACCCAAAATACAAAATATTTAGTCCTGGGCCAGGGATTTAGCTCAGTGGTTTGGCTGCCTGCTGCGTAAGCACAAGGACCTGAGTTCGATCCCCAGTACAAAAAAAAACAAATTCTTTTGTTTGTATAAATTTTCTTTTTAAAAAAATACACGTTTTTACTTTAAAGATGGAACAGGTGATAGTGATTATTTCTTAACTCCAGAAACAGAAACTCCAGGCACAGAAACAATGCTACTAAATTTTTCTACTTGCTTTAAAGTGCTGGTCCCATAAGCATAATTCAAAAGGATACCTGATGTCTTTAAAAATGATTTTTAGGGCCAGGGATTTAGCTCAGTGGTGCCGCCTCCTGCCTTGCCAGTGCAAAGTCCCGAATTTGATAGCCGATACCAAAAAACAAAACAAAACAAAACCAAAAAATAGTGATAATAAAAGTGATTTTTAACAACAGAAAACACAAAATAATAAAGTCTTTTTTGTTTTTATGTTTTGCTTTGTTTTGAGACAAGGTTTCACTACATTTACCAGGCTAATCTTGAACTTACTATGTAGCCCAGGTTGGTCTCGAACTTGCCAAGATCCTCCTATCTCAGCCTCCTGAGTGTTGGGATTACAAACATGAGCCACTACATACAGTTAGACAATAAAGTATTTTCTTGCACGACTCTTAAACTGTTGAATATTAGACTCACCAATCTGACAGATTGTAAATTGCTGAATACTCTGTCGGGTCTTTAGATACCAGTCAGATGGCAAATCAAAAAGACTGTGAAAAAAGATATATTGCATATGCCATAAGCAAGGAGAGCAGATCAGGGCCCAACACCTTGGAAACTGGTTCAGGCACTCTGAACCAGGGCGGAGTTTTTTCCTTGTTACAGGAACGAGGAAACACTAGTACCGTTTAACTGACAACAGCCAGGTCCCCCAACAGGTGGGAGCAACCCACACAAAATGCCCTGACCCCCAAAAGCCAACAGAATGCCTACTGAGAAGCAATGCTGGTCCCACCAGGGTCTTATACAAAGAGGACTTGGGTGAGTCACCTCTCTGGGCCCCAGACAGCTTTAGCTTTACCTGATCTGCTGGAGCCCAGACAGGTTAGAACGAAGTCCAGTGAACTCTATGTCCAGACCTGTGGAGAAGGCAAAAAATAAAGTCTCCACTCTACACTGAACCAGGGGCGATCAAAATATGAGATGTTTAAATAAAAATTATTACAGTTCTCCTTTGTGTCTTACAAGGTGTGATTTTTTTAAAAAAAATCATATATAACGTATGTATATGTTACATATATATGAATGCTGCTGCCAAGTGCCATCCAATAGAAAAGCAGGCTCCTAAAAACATTACAGTGTGTCCACATCCACGATATTCGCCCAATATGGTACCTATGAGACGTCTGGCTCTTTCCCAGACTCAAAATGACCTGGAAAAGTCAATGTTTTGAATCATTTCTAGACACTGAGGCAGCTACCATTGCTCAAGTAAAGACACTCAGAAAAAGGACTTCCAGAACTGCTTTAAAAAGTGGCAAGAAGGATGGGATGTATGTTCAAAGTGAGGGGGACTATTCTGAGGGGGATTAATAGCGATATGTCTTTTACTGTAACAAATCTTTTTTTTTTTTAAATAGGAAGAGTTTATTGAAAGAAAGCTTCTGCCTAAGAGAGACAGAAGGGGACCCGAAAATGAGTTGCCCCACAATCTTTTTTTTTTTTAATTTTACATTCATCATCTGTTTTGATGACACCTCCTAAATGCTACAGGTGACGCGTAGGCTCGCTTTCTTTGTGCTCAAGAAGCCAGGTCATCAAGAAGCGGAGAGGGCGGGAACTAAAGCAAGAACCAGGCAGCCCCCCCGGGTGTATCTGGACCTTAGAGCAGCTCCAGCCACCAAAGCCTGGGTGCTCTGGGTGCGACCGGCGCTTAACGCCTGTTGCCTGTCCACTGCCTGGGGGCCTGAACAGGGACTCCGCTTCTTTCCCAGGGACCGTTTGGTTAAGGGGTCCTCAACCACCCCTTCCCCGCGTTTTACCCACGAAGTCCGCCTCCCGGAGGAGCTTCTGCAGCAGCGGGAGGCTCTGCTCAAACTCGTCAGCGCCCAAGTCCATGGCGGCTAGCGGAGGCGCCTGGCTTCCCCGGGGCGGCCACGTGCTGCCACTGGCTTCCCGCTTCCGCTTCGCCCGCCTTAAAGGGCTCGCACACGCTGACCGCCCCCCCAGCCCCGGCCACACCTGCTCCACACCTGCCGGTGGCCTGGAGCTTAACAACGTGCCCAAGGATGAAGGGTGCTTGTAATCAAGAGCTGCCTGCTGGATTGAGGACATCCTTTGTGCCCTGGGATAAGCTACCCTCCTACTCCTGGCAGAAATTCCTATTTACAGCACCAGTTAGAGCTGACCCTGGTCACTAGTCTATCTTCCTTTCAGGCCTTCCTTTGAATTCTATACTTCTACTTGAACAGCTTTCTGTAATGGTGCTCCAATCGATATTTAGGTGTGAGAAGAAAAAAGTTAAAATTCTATGCGTTTAATTGCATATTTATTGATCAGTAGGGGGCTACTGACATTGGATGCTGACGCCTCTCGATCACACCTTTTAAAATACTGGTGCATACTGTATAGACTTGTGTCATCTTTGTGTCATCATTCCAATTTTAGTATGTGTTGCCAAAGCCAGCACAAGAGTTGTGTCATCTTTGCAAAACAATATATGGAATACTGAGTGTCAACAGTAATGTATTTCATTTCTAAATAAACGTTATTTAAAATTTTGAAAAAACAATGCTCTAAAAGCTACCTTAAGTGCTTACAGGTTCTTCTTCCTCACATTTATCAATAGTTAACACTGCACTTTAATTTAACCAACTCATTTCAGAGAACTGCCATACACATCTGCCCAAGCTCCAATGCTGGGTTAACTTGCAGGCCTTTCAACCTTTTTTTTTTGGTACCAGGGATCGAACCCGGGTCCTTGCACTTTAGAGGCAGGCAGCAGAACCACTGAGCTAAATCCCCGGCCCTCAACCTTCCTCTTTGATCTAATTACAATTCTCACTTCATGGCAAGCTGAGCCCACACTATACTCTTCGTTGGTTTCCACTTCCATTTGCAGTTCCTCCTGGCTCTCCTTTCCTGTCTGATCCGCTTATCTGCAGCAGGAATCAAGGGCCACAGGAGCTTAGCATTTGCCTTTATCTTCACATACTAAATTTCTAAGTTTAAACTGACACTAACATCTGTTTTAAAAAAAAAAAAAAAAAGCCCTACACCCTGAACAGTAAACAACTCACATTTACTGAGACCACTCACCATGAGCCACCCTTAGTAATGTGTTTCACAAACCTTACATGTATACCCTTGCTCACAGGCAAGAAATTTCATATAATCAGAAAGTAAGTTATTATGTCTTTATTTTGTAACTTATAAATTTTAATTCGGCCTTCGAAAGTTATAATTGTGATCCTTTCCTTAGATATTTCTTTCATGTCCAAAAAAAGGGAAAGAATTTAGCCCTTGATTAAAAAATAGAACCACATATACACACACACACCAAACTTAACTACAAATAATCTTCCACTGTTACATTATGGTATAGAACTTCCAGGCTGCTTTTTCCTCCAGATGCTTTCTTTTGATGGCCACAGTAGCCAATAGTTTTATATTTACACAAACAATTAATGCCTCTATTTCATTCATAGATTCTTCGAGGTTCCTGTAGGACCACACCACCTTCTGTCATGGCACTTTGTAGGCATTTCATCTGGTTTCAAAGATCAGAAAAAAAGGAAAAGATTAAGTCAGCACACAAGACAGCTAAAAAACTTTCCAGGAGACAATGAAATAAACAACTGATCTGCTCTTGCTAACCTCCCAGCTACACTGGTTTTTTTCAGAAAGTGATCTCAAAAATGACCTAGGTAAGAAAAAGGGAATTGAGGAATAACCAGCAGTGTTTTAAAATATTTGGCCAGGATGTCAGTATGTGAATAGAAGTAGAGTAGTTGACACTGTAGGTTATAAAAGTAGTCAGCCTGAATTTGAAATCCACCACACACTGATTCTGATGTTTATTTATGTATAGAATGGGAATACTAGTCCCTACTCTATGGATTGCTGTGAGAACTAAATGAAGTAATGCTGTCAGACTCACCAGAGTCTAACAAATGGAAATCACTTGGAAATTAGTACTATGTAAATATCTAATATCAAGAATTAACAAAGAACCTTTTATATATTTTATAATTTTTATATATAATATATATTTTTTATATTTTAATTTTTTTTGGAGTACTGCAGGTGGAACCCAGGGTCTCACATAGGCTATGCAAGTGCTCTTCCACCAAGCTGTACCCACAGTTCTCCAATGCCCTTTAACCTTTAAGTACATGAAAACCAAAATACCGAGTCTGAGGCTGCTTCCCAAGGGGTTGGCTGGTAGACCATGAAGTTGATTCCTGCTTCTAAGCACCGCTGTGCCAGCACTCGTCCTACACTCTCACAAGCCACCACATTTCTGGTACTGTAAAGGTGCTTTTTAATAGCCCACTCACGAGTGGATGCTGACACCACAACCCGGCCATTCCAATGCTCAACAAGCGCCTCTACATGATGCTGAGTCCTTATAACGCGCAACCTAAATAGGATAAGAAGAGAATAAAATCATATAACAATCTATCCACCCCAAAGTTAAAGCAGATGAACAAATGCCTAAAATACTCTCTAAAACTTCAAAGTTTAGTGGATTTTACTTGGGATTATGAGACTATCTTCAATAATAATAAAAAACCAAATATTTCACTTAACTTCAAGTATCAAAGAGAAACTTGGTATTTCTGAAAAGTTGAGTTTTATTTACTTATATGTATACTTCAAAAAAGACTTGGGCAGAGTTAAACTACTGACTCTGTGCTTTATAAATACAAACTTTATGCTTTTATTTCCCAGCTAAGACCAAAATAAATACAAAGATTTCAATGTAAAAATTGAAATTACAGGAATAGTACAAGGAAACATGAGAATTTTAAAAATGTAAAAGTAAAGTAAGCCTATTTAAATGACATCAAACATGTCATATGGCTTTTATACAAGATGGACACAATTTTTTTCTTCCATTAAGTTTATTGGTACATTTTAAGCATAAAATACAGTTACATTCGGAAACTTGTTCCTTTCCATGACGTATCTTGGTTCTTATTTTTTCCCCTTCCCCTGCCCTCCCTTCACTCCCTCCACCCTTCCCTATTTACAAAGTCTTTGTTTCCATTTTTTCATTTTCTCATATTAATTCTATTCCCCTCTTTCCTTTCCCCTACCCCTCCCACTTCCCCTTCCCCTTTGCACCTTTTGTTCCTATTTCACATTATCTATTATACATTTGAATCCTTATTTACCCTTTCAGTTTCTCACACCAGAGAAATTACTTGGTATTTACACGCTGGACACAATTTTTTGTATGGTGAAAAAATAAATAAAACAGTCAAGTCAAAAGACAAGCAATGAGGCTCTGGGCATAGCTTGGTAGTGGAGGGCTTGCCTGGTATGAACAACACCCCAGCTTCAATCCCCAGAACAACAACAACAAAAAAAGACAAGCAATGATAAAAGAAAAAGTATTTTAAACATATACATTTTTCAAAGGGCTAATTTCTGTACTACATAAAACACCTTCCATCATCAATAAGGAAATGACCAATAACTTAAGAGAGTAGGCAAAGGATTTGGTTTTTTTCTTTTTTTTTTTGGTACCAGGATCGAACTTGGGACCTTGCGCTTGCAAGGCAGGCGCCGGAACCACTGAGCTAAATTCCCAGCCCCAGGATTTGGGTTTCTTTTTTTTTTTTGGTACTGGGGATCGAACTCAGGACCTTGCGCTTGCGAGGCAGGTGCCAGAACCACTGAGCTAAATCCCCGGCCCTAGGATTTGGTTTTTTGAGACAGGGTCTTGCTATGCAGTCCAGGATGGCCTTGAACTCACTATGTAGCCCAGGCTGGCCTCAAACTTGCGGCGATCCTCCTGCCTCAGCCTCCTGAGTGCTGGGATGACAGGTGTGCACCACCACATCCAGCATAGGATTTGAGCAGTGTTCACAGAAAAGGAAAATATTAGTAATTTGTACACTCATGAAAATACGCCCACTCTTACTGACAAAATCCATTGTGGAGACAATTCATTGCAGCACTGTAATCTAAAAGATAATCATCAACACGGGGCCAGTTAACTAGAAGTATCCACAAAATGATATTCTATAGTTACTAAATGGAATGAAGTAGTACTTTATAGCAATAGCTCTTTACCAAGCACTTACTATGTGTCATGCTTGTTCTAATTGTTTAAAGGTATAGCTCAAGTCTCTAAATAATCCCATTCTTCCAGGTTTTTTTTAAGTAGTAGAAACAGACAGAAAAGTAAAGTAAATTGGGTGAGATTAAAACTACTCAGTAATGGACCAGGGATTTAGCTCAGTGGTTCCGGCACCTGGCTCAAAAGCGCAAGGTCCCAAGTTCAATCCCCGGTATCAAAAAAAAAAAAACTACTCAGTAATGAAACCAGAAAGGTCCAAGAGTCTGCCTCCAGAGCCAGTGCTTGGAGGAGAGAGGGCTGGAGAAGGAAATTACAGAATGGTGTTTATGGTGACAAGATTTAACTTAAAAAATACTTCTATGTGTATTTCTAGAAAGATACACAAGAAATTACATCCATTTTTGGTTTTATAACATATACAAACACGGTTGACTCTCCCACCTGTGGATGTCAAATCCTTGGATTCCACCCATCACAGATGGAAAATACTTTGGGGAAAAACTGCATTTGAACTGAACATGTAGACCTTTTTCTGTTATTCTCTAAACAGTGTAGTATAACAACTATTTACAAGACATTTATATTGTACTAGGTTTTTTGGTTGAAACAGGGTCTCACTTCATAGCGCAGGCTGACCTCAAACTTGTGCCAGTCCTCTTGCCTCAGCTTCCCAAATATTAGAATTACAAGTCTGTGCTATCAGGTCAACTTGCATTGGGCATTTTAAGTAGTCTAAACAAAGTTTTAAGTCATGGGAGAATGTGCATAGATCATACACAAATGCTGTGCCATTTTATATAAGGTACTCAAGCAACCAGAGATTTCAATATCCGCTGGGGTGCTGGAGCCAATTCACTGGATACTAAGTAACAACTGTATGACTTTTGGGTTTGCTTTTTTTCCCCCCATTTTTAGGGTTTTTATTTGTTTGGTGCTAGGGGCTAAACCCAGGGCTTTGTACACACTTTATACACACTCTATCACTGAGCTACACTCCCCACCTCTACATTTTATAAAACTAAGCTCAAATTAAAGATAATACTCAAATTAGAAGATCCTCATTAAGATTAATAATGTAAAATAGAAAAAGCACTACGTTGCAAATGTGGGTTTTCCTGGTTTTGCTGGTGGCTCTGATAAAAAAAAATCATACTCTTTTAAAGGAAGTGTTGACCTTTTTCTGTAAAGGGCCAAATAGTAAATATTTTAAGCTTTGTAGACTATAGTCTGTATGGACTGATTAACTCAGTCACTGTACTGCTAAACAAATCTGAATAAGAAAATTTCTTTTGTAGACAACAAAATTTGAATTTTATCTAATTTTCAAGTGTTACAAAATATTATTTTGAGTTTTGACTTCTTTTTTTTATATTATTGCACTTTATGTACAAAATCATTTGATTTCAAATAAACATTTAATGTAAAAACAAATGTTCTTTTAAATTGAATTTTTTTTTACATCTACTGTACCATTCAAATGCTTTACCATCGTACATGATTTCTTCAAAATCTGTTATTAAGGGTACATATAGAAAAGCATTTTTTTATAAATAGAAACAGAGGGATTTTTTTCAGCTTTTATTATAAGATGACATAAAAAAGTTTACTCAACAGAAGTAATTTCATTACTATTTGGGGGAGGGAATCACCAACTTTTGTGCAAACAATGCTAGCCTTCTTTTAAGCATTAAGAGCATAACTGCTTAAGAAATGACATAAGCAATAATCCTACACCTACATCTCCCCTAAAATAATCTATTTTTTTTACATATGTGCACAGCTTTAGCAAATTAAAGCCCAAGAGAAATGCTCAAAATCCACTACTCAGAGGCAAAATGAGAATTTAGTGGAACTTGTCATTTGTAGAGCTTACCAATCAAGAACTGACTTCTTTTTTTAATGTAAAAATAAATGGTCATGGTGGCACATCCCCATAATCCCAGCACTCTGGGAGGCTAAGAGGCTCACAAGTTCCAGTCCAGCTTTGGCCACCTGGCAATTAGCAAGAACCCATCTCAAAAAAAAATAAAAATAATTTTTTGCTTACAAGCCAACATTGACCCATAGGCCATAGTTTTTGAGCCCTTATCTTAAACTATATATTCAATTAAGGAGTAGGACTCAAAATCTCTAAAGTCATTTCCCACTATTAATATTCCTAAATTCCCTGATAGTATGGCAAATAGGGCAGGGGAAGGCATGTCTATAGGTATTTAAATGATCCAAATATTCAGTCCCAGTAATAAGCTCGGTGTTTCAGAAGATTTTTAGACTTAAGAGCCAGAATATTTCAAGTCAACTGTCTACTCTTTTTTCACTTCTCACTGTAAACTCTAAGTAAAATGTACTGCAGCAATTGTAACATGCTATTATTTCTATTCCACTTTCCATTATGAAAGTATTAAGACCTTCGGTGAGAGGCATGACATAATTTTATCATGGTATTTCCTGCATCTAGCACAATAACTAGCAAGAGTATCGGCCTGCCAGGTGGGATGACATACATACACCTGCAATCCTAGCACTTGGGAAGCTGAGGCAGGAGAACTGACACAAGTTTGAGGCCAACATGGACTATATACCAAGACCCTGACTAAAAAAACAAAAAAAAAACAGTATAGGCCCAATGTTTGCTGAATAATTTCTAATTTGCCTTTACTACTTTATATAGTCCTTAAGAAATATGCTACTTTTAACAAATCTCCATCAAGGAAATAAGCAGCTGACAAATACCTTCACTATGCTACAGAATAGTGGTGATAATTTAGTGTCCTGACTAAGATCATATTAAATATGTTTCAATCTTATTAATCACGTCCCCCTTAGCCTCAATTCCCCTTCTCCTGAAAAATGGTGGAAATTATTATGCCTGCTTCATAATATAGTTTTAAAAATTAAATGACAAAATACATTTAAAACAACTAGCACAGTTTTTGGCAAAAAGAAAGTTACAATCTAGTGTAGTTCTTAGCAAATACAAAGTTTTCGATAAACAACTATCTTGGGGTTGGGAACAAAACTCAGCGGTAGAACTCTTGTCTATCATGCACAAGGCCATTGGTTCCATCCCTAGCACTGCCAAATAAATAAACAAACATCTATTCTTATAAAAAATATCTCATGCTCATAATAATAAATTCACACTAGTGCTCCCTTTTCTATCTGCCCCCCTAAAACTTTGTTTTCGCCAAAGCAGCTAGAATGATCTTCAAACCTGGATCACTCAGACTCAAACTTTAAACCCTCATAGTTCTCAGGCAGTGAAAGTAAAGTCTCAACTGCTTACCTTAATTTGCAAAGCTAATGACTCAACTCCTTCCTGCCCTTCTATTTTCATTTTACATCACTCACTCTTTGGCCCACTGAACTCCAGCTACACTGACCTATCAGCTCCTCAAACACTCCAAGTTCATTCCCCTCATAGCTGTTTGAAACGCTAGGATGCTCTAGCAGGTGACTTAGCTCTTTCCATCTTTCCGATCTCAGCTTTTTAAAATGTCACCTCCTCCTACAAGACTTAGTAGACACTCAGTCTCCTAATCTGACATTACCTTTTAAATTTTCTCCAGCACATCTATTAATTTGTTCCACTCCATCGGCTAGCCCCACCTCTACACACCAAGTGTCAGCTTCCTGTGAGAGAAATCCTGGCAAGTCTGGCACTGTCACTGAATGAACTAGAGAAACAATCTATAAGGTGCTGTGCACTGCTGTGTCAATCACTTGGAGACTTAATTACCTGTGCCAGAATTCTCGGGAAGGCCACACTGTCCCCCAACCCCGCTCTTTCCTTGCCACACCTAAGAGCTCCAGATTACGAGGGTTTCGGTTGGTGAACTCTGGGGCAACAGCTTCATTTTCCACAGACTCCGTTTCGGGCTTCGCGGCTGGCGTGGAACTGGTTGAGAGAGGTGCAAACCGACACGCTAATAAATGGAAATGACGACACGGACCTAAAAAAAAAAAAAAAACTAAAACAGGCAGTATAGGAACGTGCTCTATTCCCATACCCAGTCGTCAGGCTCTGAAATGAATGAGATGGACGTTGTTATCATAGACCCCAGTACGTAACGTTCTGCTACAGTCATCACAATGCTGCACATTTACTTTTTCCTATGTCGAATACAAAATAGATTTCCAGGAGCCGCGTGTGGTGGTGTACACCTGTAATCCCTGCACACTGAGCGGCTGAGGCAGGAAGGTGGCAAGTTCGAGCCAGCCTGGGCAACTTAAAGAGAACCTGTCTCAAAATTAAGAGGGTGGGGGACTGAAGATGTAGCTCAGTGCGAAGGTGCTGGGTTCAATCCATGTGCAAATAAAATAAGATGTGTAAATTCACTTACTGTGCAGGCACTAGGGAGTACGCTAAGAAATGGAGTGAGATAAATTACCTGACCTCCTGCAAATCTGCAAATTCCAGAACCGTGACAAAAATGCCATAGCTGAGAGGATATGCGAAAGCTCAGAATGTCTGTCTCCTTTTCCTGACGGTAGCCTAAGCAGTTAACCGGCCGCAACCATATTAGATCTGAAGAGAGGACACAAATTCCTGCAGATGATTAAAGCCACATTCAGGAACTGAACTCAGTTCTATATTCGGGAACTGATTGGCCACAGGAGCAATCCGTCATTCTGGCTCCGCCAATCACCACATACGTCAAGACGCACGCAGGCCCAGAGCCAATCAGTCGCCTGTTAAAGAGGCACCCCGGGAAGGTCACAATTTGGGGAACGCTATTGGCTCTAGTCTAACCACTAAGAAGCCCGTAAAGTCCTTTGACCATTGTTTGGGAACACTTCAACTGAACACCGACGAGTCTATACCTGTGAGGAAATGGAGCAAGATGCAGTTTTCCATTAACTAAAAACTTTCCCGTACTCCCCAGCGAAAACCTTCCCCGGTCCTATCCACGTGCAGACCCCAAGCTTACACTTGTGAGTCCGGAACAAAGCAGAGTCCTCCCAGAGCAAGTACTTAAGGAAAATGACACATTAACTCAATACATCCCAACGCTTCTCCCATTGATCACCTTTTCTAGAAGACACTACAAAATCTAAAAGCGCACGCGCAAAATCGCAGTTTACTACTTCCACCCGCGGGCCAACCTCCTAACTTCCGGTCTCCATGTTCGCGCCCTTCTCCTCCGGTTTCTAATTGGACGAAAAAACTGAGCTGGCCACTTTACGGTTCCTCATTTCCGGCAATTTTCCTGTTTGCCCCTCCTCCACCCCAACCCGTTTCCTCCTTCCCGCCGTGCCTCTCGGCCAGGCCAGGGAGGAGAAGTAGCGCACGCTGTGTTACCCAGCAGTCCCTGGAGCGCTGCCGCGGCCTCTTCACTTTGCCGCGGCTCATACTGCTGCTGCGCGGCTAGTGGCTCGAAGTAGTGGTTGTCGGCGGTTTGAGTGAAATTGGACGCGAACCCCACCGCGAAGATGGAGGGCCCTTTGTCGGTGTTCGGGGACCGCACCACTGGGGAAGCGATCCGCTCCCAGAACAGTAAGGACAGGCGAGGCCTGCGTCGGGTCGACCTGGGCTACCGGCCTCTCTCACCGCTTTACATCTCTCACAGAAGAAAGCGCCCGTTAAAAAGTTTCGCCCAGGCCCCATCTCGTTCCATGGCCCGGCCCATGGGCACAATGCGTCTAGAGAACCCTCGGGAAGGAGTGCGGGTGCCTAGGTCCGTGTAGAGTCGGCAGCCCGGCCCGGAAAGCGAGGCCCTGCCGTGACACGTGCCAGGCACACCAGCAGATTCCAACCCAATGGGATCCGTCTTAGGGCTTTCTTTTAGGACCATCAGCCAGTAAATTTTGAGTTTGCCTGCAAAGTTAGTACATGGATAAATGCCTGTAGAATTTAGGTCACTCGCCCAGCTCCCTTCCGGTTGTGATCTACAGTGGATGTCGGGTGCCCTGATGCTCAGATCCAGTTTTTGTGCACAACTTGTTGATAGTTTCTTACGATGAAATAAGTTAAAGAAATGCTAACTGAACATTAGTATAGGTGAGACCTATTCTAGCAAGCACTAATGCGAATTAGTAAATCATTTATGTCAGATTTTCGCCTCAAAAATGTAGAGGCTTGAGTGGAATTTTTTAAAACCTGTCAGGGAAGGATAACAACTTCGAGATCAGCCTGGGCAACTTAAAAGAAACCCTGGCTGAAAATTTAAGGGCTAGGAATGTAACTAGAATGATGATGGTGAGTAAAAGAGTAACGGTATTAATAAAATGAAAAGGAGAGCGTTACAAACGATTCTGTATGCAAATGGTAATACCAGGTAGAAGCCAGAAAAATATTCTCATTAGCTCCACTATATAGCTGTACTGTGGAACAGGCAGTATATCCATTACCTGCGGAGAGTAAGTGTTCAACTGAAGCTACTAAATTCCAGGCTACTGGAGTAATTTGTACTTAGACTTTTCATTCTGTTTTAAAATCCTTGTAAGGAACACTAAGATACTTGTTTAAAAGACTTAAATCCTATTGGCCTTTTTGGGGCGAAATTAGGTTCATTAAAAGACCATTTTCATGTTTTAAAAGACGAAGTTCCCATGCTTTCTTCACTGAAGTTTAGGTAGGGCAGAAATACATTTTTCTCACAATTTTTTCTTTTGCTAGAATTAACACTTGTTTAAGAAGTGTGGGAATATAGCTAGTAAGATTGGGGCTCTGGATTTAATCCCCATTAACCTTTAAGAAAAAACTTGCCAGAATCTAAAGAAAAGACTGAAACTTTTTTTCTTTCCAGCGTAAAATGGCAAAGCATGAAATTAGAACTGTTAATTACATTTTTATTCGGCCACAATTACTCTTTAAAACAATCTGTTTACCATTAAGTGACATTTACTATCCTCCTAATAGGTGATATTTAAAATAATGACATTTATAGATTGGGGAAATTCAAACGCTGTTGGATATTTAGTTTTCTTACACTAAAATGATTGTATTTTACAGCAATGAGATTTTCTAACTTTATTCGGTTTTTCTGTTATCTACAGTTATGGCTGCAGCTTCTATTGCAAATATCGTAAAAAGTTCTCTTGGTCCGGTTGGCTTGGATAAAATGTTGGTGGATGATATTGGTGTAAGTATATTTAACTTGTGTTGTTCACTGCCTTAAAAAAACATCTTAAATGTTTTGTTCTGTATATTCTTTCTTTGGGGGGGGTTATCAGGGATCAAACTCGGGACCTTGCGCTTGCCAGACAGGCACGGCACCACTAAGCTGCATCCCCAGCCCCCTATATTCTTTCTTCTTAAGTCCTGGTGGAATTTAAGTGGTGTATGGTGGCACACTCCTGTAATCCCAGCACTTGGGAGGTGAGACAGAGGATTGCTGCAAGTTTGAGGCCAGCCTGTGCTACATAGTCAATTCAAGGCCAGCCTGCACCGCAAAGTGAGAATCTGTCTCCAAAAAAGTTGAATGTGCACCATATTGAGGTTGTATTAATTTAGGGGGCATCTTGTTCCTGTAGGTGACTGATGTCACCACTTTTTACTGCATATTTCCTAGGATGTAACCATTACTAATGATGGTGCCACCATCCTGAAATTACTGGAAGTAGAACATCCTGCAGCTAAAGTTCTTTGTGAGCTGGCTGAACTGCAAGACAAAGAAGTTGGAGATGGAACTACCTCAGTGGTAGGTGGGACAGTGGCTAAAGAATAGACATTTCATCATAGTTGTAGCCCTGAGTGAGTCACTTGCTCTGGGCCAAAACTAAGTTCTGTATTTAAGAAGGAAAATGTTACTGTTTGGCAGATAATTCAGAAACAATTTGAAAACCAATGATTATAGCTAGTTTGTACAATTTTAGTAGGAAAGGAATTTAAGATAATGAAATAATAGCCTCATTTCAAATGTTGGATTTCACCAGTTTGTGGGCTGCTTAGCCCCTAAATATGACAATATTCATACATCAGAGAAAGGTTTTAAATACTTTCTAAAGTTTTGTTTCTTCCTTCCCCACCATCTAAGACTTAGAAATTTCTAAAACCTTTGCTTTTATAATTATCTAAAGGACAAAATTTTACCAGCTTTTTAAAGCAGCTAAATATTTTTATATTTTAAATGCTGAGAGGCAGTCTCAGGAACTCAGAATAGAACTGTGAGAAAGTATTTCACCGCTCTTTCCCCTAAAAGAAGCTGACACAGTTTTAAGTTATAACAAATATTTCTTAGTAATCCTTACAAGAAGGATTTTTAAATTGAACTGCAAAACCTGTAATAGTACAATTTACTCCAGTAGTCAGGAAATTACCTTCTCTTGAGTATGTAATTTCTAAGTACCGGGGGTCGAACTTGGGTCCTTGTGCTTGCGCCGCAGGCAGCAAAACCACTGAGCTAAATCCCCGGCCCCTTTCGTGCTGTTTTTAATACCCTGTTAATCCTTTCCTCATCACCATTCTGGTTAATAATGCCTGCTCGTGTTGGAGTTGCATTTTTATGTATGCATTGCACATACTAAGTCTGTGACTGTTTTCTCAACAGGTTATCATTGCAGCAGAACTTTTGAAAAATGCAGATGAACTAGTCAAACAGAAAATTCATCCCACGTCGGTTATTAGTGGCTATCGACTTGCTTGCAAGTAAAATTGTTTGCATGTAAACAAAATTGTATCAGCTGTAATATATGTGAATAATCTGACTCTTAGTGTTTTGACTAATGAGCACATTTTAATTGGAAAGGTTCTGTTTTAGCATTCATGTAGTAACATTTGAGGTAAGAACTTGGGCCAATATCTTTCCCATTTGACTACCACATTTTCTCCAATAATAGATTTTAGTGGCTATGCTTGTGGGATAGATTAAAGTTGCCATGATCTGAAGAGGGAGGGTTTTTCAGTGTCCTCCTCCTATATGAAATGGCTGAACAGAATACCATTTCCTATAGCATTTTGACACCTCGTGCAATGTGATACAGTCAAGGGTTTGAGTAGCAGATTCATAAATATTTTTCTCTCCCACACATTAAACAGGGAAGCAGTGCGCTATATCAATGAAAACCTAATTATTAACACAGATGAACTTGGAAGAGATTGCCTGATTAATGCTGCTAAAACATCCATGTCTTCCAAAATTATTGGAATGTATCCTTAAATGTTCCAGTGAAGTTTTAAGGTCTTTTGGATAGAGAGGGTAAGGGGAATTGAGTTAGTTTTTAAAATACCAAATTTTTGCAAATTGAAAATTATGTTAGAGACACGTGGATTGCCTATTGCCTTCCCTGCATTTCTAGGCTAAAACAGTAATGTAAAATAGCCTGTGTGGATCATGATAAATAATACTGCAGTGATTTTTATAGCACAAGTAATGCTTTTTTTTCTTTGATGAATGAGATTGCTAAAAGAAAGTTCTTTTGAATTGCCCTTGGTCTTCATGTGTACCCTCTGTTCACAGTCTGTTATTATCCTTAATTGTTGGTAAAGAAATGGTGATTTCTTTTCTAACATGGTAGTAGATGCTGTACTTGCTGTTAAATACACTGATTCAAGAGGCCAGCCTCGCTACCCAGTCAATTCTGTTAATGTTCTGAAAGCCCATGGGCGAAGTCAGATAGAAAGCATGCTGATCAGTGGCTATGCACTCAACTGTGTAGTGGGATCTCAGGGTAAGTGTGGAATTTAGTTATAAAATGAAATTGCAGTTCAAACTAGCTCTTTTTTTTTTTTTTTTTTCTTTTTGGTACCGGGGATCGAACTCTGGTCCTTGCACTTGCAAGGTAAATGACAGAACCACTAAGCTAAATCCCCAGCCCCAAACTAGCTCTTTTTATAGTTTGCTTGCAGTATTTCTTTTTGTAACCCAAGCACATGTAAAATATTAGGATGAGTGAATTGAAAGAAATTGTGTGCCTTTAATGCCATTAAGCTCTTCTAGGGTTTAATGTACTAAGTTACAATCTGAATTTGTGTGGTCATATGTACTGTAATATGTTTATTATGTCATATGATTTTAAGGCTAGGTATATTAGCTGCCTCACAAGCGCAAGGTCCCAAGTTCGATCCCCAGTACCAAAAAAAAAAAGATAGGTATATTAGATGAACTATAGCACTGGAATTGTTACATAAAAGAACTTAATGTGTTTTTATTACTTATAGGCATGCCCAAGAGAATAGTTAATGCAAAAATTGCTTGCCTTGACTTCAGCCTGCAGAAAACAAAAATGAAGCTTGGTGTACAGGTGGTTATTACAGACCCTGAGAAGCTGGACCAAATTAGACAGAGGTATGTTGAGATTTTTAGGTGTAACTATAAGAGGTGTTAGATAATTACCCTTGTGTTGGATCAGTGGACAGTAAACTAAAACAATGAGTGGTAAGTTTTATAGGTAACAGATAAGTTATCAGAACCACTGATGGTGGTTTGTAGAAATCTGTGGTTTATAGAAATGAAGAATTGGTTTGTTTTGTAGGGTTTATTTGTTTGCTTGCTTGCTTGTTTTTTTGAGACAATGTCTTGCTAAGTCATCCAGTCTGGGCTCAAAGCTCTAACTAGTGACCCTCCAGCCTCAGCCTCCCAGAGTGCTGGGCTTGCTGGCATGACCACCCACCAGGCCAAAAAGAAGTGAACTTTTCAGCCTGTTTGGAGGATTTTAACTTTTTAACCAAGTCCAGCTACTTTACATAAGCTCTGGAAAAATTAGAATATGTGGTAATATTTTAAGGGGGATTTATAGTGATATAACATATGAAAATGTATGTTGTTATAGAACTTGGGTTTCCTGAGTATTGAAATTCAGGATGAAACAGCCAAGAACTTATTTCCTCAGAGAAGCAGTATAGAACTGTGTTTAGAATTGACTATGCTAATGTGTATGGTTTCCGGGTGCTGGTATTCATTCATTGGCATACCGGAGAGTTGTTCTTAAACATAGTTGGCTGCTCACTTCCACTTGGCCCATGTCATTCCAGTATTTTTATTTTTAGGCTGGGCATGGTGGCGTACACCTATAATCCCAGCACTTGGGAGGCTGAGGCAGGAGGATCACTGCAAGTTCAAGTCCATCCTAAACAACATGGCAAGACTCTGTCTCCAAAAAAACAAACTTAACAAAAAAAGTACAGTATTTTTATTTTTATATGACATGATATATATATTTATGGGTTACAGTATGACACTTCAATATATGTATGCAGTGTGTGATGATCAGACCAAGATGACTGTATATATGTCCCCTCCACCATCTACCATTTCTTTGTGTTGGGAACATTTAAAATCCTCTCTACTTCATATTTTGAAATATGCAATCAATTGTTGTCAACCACAGTCAACATACTATGGTGTCAAACAATTGAAGTTATTCCTCCTAACTTCACCTCTCTACTTTTTAGTCTTTCCTCCTCTTCTTTACCCCCTCACACATGCACAAACCCTTCCTAACCTCTGATAACTACTATTGTATTCTCTGCTTCTTCAAAGTAATTTGTTTTGTTTTTTGACACTTTTTTGGTTAGTTTGAACATGGAGCTTAACTAAACAAGGACTTTTTGCTGATATTTAGAAGTGGTTTTTAACCATCTGCACATCCCTCCTTCTTTCCTTCAAAGGCTAGTCCTCAGCACTCAGGAGTCTAAACCAGGAGGAGCACCTTGAGTTTGAGGCTAGCCTGGGCTACATAGTGAGATCAAGGCCAGCCTGGGCTACAAAGTGAGACCCTCTGTCTCCAAAAAAAACAAAGAAAAAGCCAGTCCTGCAGTGGGTGTTCCACAATCTGTTGTCTTTTGTGTTAGAGCCTTGCTTCATTGACCTTTCTCCACTATATCTTCAACTATTCCTTGTCTTGATTCCACTTTAGGTTCTTCCGTCCTTAAATGAAAGCCCCATTCTCCTGCCCCAGTTGCTCCCTGTCTTTCCACATTTCTGTAGGTGTCAGAGAAGAGTGACTTATGTAAAACTGTTTGCTGGTGCTTCACTTGTCATCTGCTCACCAGCTGTTTTCTTGAGTGGAGAGCTGCTTGTCAAGGGCACAAATAACGCAAATGTGAGACTTTCAACAAGTCTTTGGCTGCTTCTGTCTTGAATGAAACACTTCTAGAGGAAGAGAGGCTGTGTCATACTCACTTGCCTGTGTTCTTTGTGCCAGTCTCGAAGTACTCTCCCTGGAGTAGCTCCTTTATCCCCATGAATTCAGATATTTATGCTACAGGCTAGAAGTCTAAACACATATTTACTGGTAATTGAATGCTTTCTCTTCCCACACCCCTACAGGGGATCAAACTCAGGACCTTGCACAAGGCAGGCTCGGTGCCCCTGAGCTAAATGCCCGGCCCTTGAATGCTTTGTAGGCATCTCAAAATCAGTATTCTAAAACTTAACTCATGATGATACCCCGCTGGTGGCTTTTTAGTGATCGGGACTCCTCCACACAGGCAGCAAACTAAGAAACAAGCTTAATTCTTTTCTTCTGATAGAATAATTCCCTGACCTATGAACGTTCAAGTTGCAAACTTTCGAAGGTGTGCTATATGACTCACTTTGTCAGATACAAATGAATCTGACTTACAGACATTTTCCTGGAACGGAACTCATTCAAGTCGGGACTTACTGTACCCCTTTTCTTCCCAGTCTCTCCAAGACCACTTGATTTCTCTCTCCAAATTAAATGCACCTGTTTCATTTCTCTTGCCCAGACTATTGCAGAAGTAACCAAACAAGTACCATCTGTCAGGGGAGCTTTTCTTTCTGCCTCAGTCTAAACCAGTAATGGCGAAACTTTTAGCACTTTGAGTCATACAAACGGCAGTACACATGCAGTGGATTCACCACGACTAGTCTAAACTAAGATTTGTTTACTTTCTACCGTGTGTCTATACAACTGTACTATAAATTCTGAAAATAGAGACAAAATGATTCCTTTTAGTTTGTAGCCCCAGTCCACCAATGTCTGGCACAAGTTACTAGTTCAGTAGCCCAGGAGAAAGTAGAAGTAAGCTTTAAAATATCTGGATGTGGAGGAATATGACTACAATCCCAACTACACAGAAATCTGAGGCAGGAGGATCACTTGAGTGAAGGAGTTTACAACCAGCATGGTTGGGTTAAGACCCAACATAAACTAGGATGATTACTATAGTAAATACACAAAATGGTAATACAATTGTTTATTATCATGCTCAAGTATTATATACTGTAACAGTGTGTGCTATACTTGTATACACTAGAAGCACAGGGGTTTTAATCATTACAAACATGTGAGTAATGTGTGGCACTATGATAGAATAGCTGTCACATTGTTAGAAAAGAGGAGTTTTTTAGGTCCATTATTATCTTATAGGACCACTGTTATATTTAGTCCATCCTTAACCAAAGTGTCATGTGAGGGTGGCACATGACTGTACCTAAAAAACTGAATGATCTCATCTATTCACATGACTTCAATATGATGTTTTGAATCTGTCTTTATCATACTTTCTTGTCATTTCCCTGATGAATCTTAATGCCTCCTACCATCTTCAACTCAATAACAAAGGCTTCAAACCTACATTGTACCAGGGCTGGGGATTTAGCTCAGTGGTTCTGTTGCCTGCCTGGAAAGCACAAGGTCCCGAGTTTGATCCCTGGTACCAGAAAAAGAAAAAAACCTATATTGTCCCAATACTCACTCCTGATTTCCCAACTTGCCTGCAAACTGAATTTTACTCTAGGAGTTACTGTCCCTCCCAGTTACCTGAGCCATAAACTTTAACTATTCTCTTTATCTAATTAATATCTCTCCCTTGAGTCTCATCTTTCCTGTGTGGTTTACACATTAACATTGGGGGATACTTTTGAATAAATAGATAGTAATTGTTTTTAAGCAAAACAAGTATTATACGAAGTTTTTTAGCCAACTAGGCACTTTAATATGACCTATCAGTTTTTTATCTTCAGTTCTTATCTCCTGCAATTTCAAGTTGACTCCTCTTAAATTCTTGTCCTACCTAGTGGGCTGGATTTATGCCTCTCCTGCTTATTAGGTGGTATCTCTGCATATCATCATAGTGATGCTGGCCCTGGATGTGTGACTGGTAATTTTCTCCCCTAGATTTTGAACAGCAGGCTTTTTAGTATTTTCTCCTAACGCTTGTTCATTAAGAACTCAAATTGGAGTTTGGAGAGCAAAGTAGTGGTTTTTTCATTGCTTGAATTTTTTCATGAATTGGACTATTTTAAATTAGGTTTGTAAGTTGGGGAAGAATGGTTGATAGATTTTACCTGGAGTTATTCTGTAAAAAATGCCTAAAGAAAGTTATAACTGCATGATTAAAAAACAGAGAAGGTAACCGGGTTATTAAAATACTTTTTCTGTAGAGAATCAGATATCACTAAGGAGAGAATTCAGAAGATCCTGGCAACTGGTGCCAATGTTATCCTAACCACTGGTGGAATTGATGACATGTGTCTGAAGTATTTCGTGGAGGCGGGTGCTATGGCAGTTAGAAGAGTCTTGAAAAGGGACCTTAAACGCATTGCTAAAGCTTCTGGAGGTATGTCTTGTGCCAGTTCTTGGGTAAAATGCTTCATGTTGATATGCATGATGGTCTGGGCCAAGGATGTAGCCCAGCGGCACAGCACCTGCCTGGAAGCGTGAGGCCCTGAGTTTGATTCCCGGTACTGAAAATAATATAGTAACAATAACAATAATAATATGTATGATGGTCTTAGGAGAAAATGGCAGCTGCTTCTGTGAGCCATAAACCTTAGATATGTAATGTATCACTTTTGCCATAAATAAATGTTTCCTGCTGGGTGTGGTGGCTGATGATTGTAATCCCAGCATTCAGGAGACAGAGACAGAGGCAGGAGGATCACCACAAGTTCAAAGCCAACTTGAACTACATAGTGAACTCTGTGTCTCAAAGCAAACAAATATTTTTTTTAATGTTTCTCAGTATAAGACATGGTAAAATCATTATGAGGTGGGCGTGGTGGTGCGTGCCTGTGATCCCAGCACTTGGGGGGGAAGCAGGAGGATTGCTGCAAGTTGAGGATAACCTGGGCTACATAGTGAGTTCAAGGACAGCCTGGACTACATAGCTAGACCTTGTCTCAAAAAACAAAGGGTTGGGGATATGGCTCAGTAGCTCAGTGGCACCTCGCCTGCCGCTTTGCAAATGCAAGGTCCTGAGTTCGATCCCTGGTACCAAAAAAATAATAATAAAGTAAAACAAACAAAAATCATCCCGAGACTATCTACTGATGATGTAACTCTCTTAATAGCCACTATCCTCTCAACCTTGGCCAATTTGGAAGGTGAAGAAACTTTTGAAGCTACAATGTTGGGACAAGCAGAAGAGGTGGTACAGGAGAGAATCTGTGATGATGAATTGATCTTAATCAAAAAGTAAGAGCCACTTTCTGAATCCTAAAGCACTGCAGATTTTGTTGTTGGACAAATAAATTTCCTTCCCATTTATTTGCTGCTATCATCTCTCCGTGATATGAGCAGTTATACGCATGGGATACAATATTGTTGGGCCATTGTCGACTGAGATGAAGTAACTATGTCATCTCTTCTGCATGGCCTGGACACTGTGTTTGGTAGAGTCCGTCAGGTCCTCTGTAAGCAGAATGTAACCGAGGGCCCTTGCAATGAATTACTGTGTAAGAATCTCACTTTTTTGCTCCTCATAGTACTAAGGCCCGTACATCTGCATCGATTATCTTACGTGGGGCCAATGATTTCATGTGTGATGAGATGGAGCGCTCTTTACATGATGCACTTTGTGTGGTGAAGAGAGTTTTGGAGTCCAAATCTGTGGTTCCCGGTGGGGGTGCCGTGGAAGCAGCCCTTTCCATATACCTTGAAAACTATGCCACCAGCATGGTAAGAGTTCTTTATTTTCAAGGGTCTGGGAGCCGCTCTTGCACTTTATTAGTGTACCTTGTCTGAGACCTTTGCTGTTGCTGTGGGTTTTCATTATTTTTCTTTCCTTTTGTGAAGAGTCACCAAACTTTCTTTCTTCTTAGGGATCTCGGGAGCAGCTTGCTATTGCAGAGTTTGCAAGATCGCTTCTTGTCATTCCTAACACACTGGCAGTGAACGCTGCCCAAGACTCCACAGATCTGGTTGCAAAGTTAAGGGCTTTTCATAATGAGGCTCAAGTTAACCCAGAGCGTAAAAATCTAAAATGGTAAGCATATGGTTTTCTTGTCTTTTTTCATTGTCATCTACTTATACCATGACAAAGCATACCTTTTTTTTTTTTTTTTTTGGTGTCGGGGATCGAACTCAGGACCTTGTGAGGCAGGCAGTGGCAGCACTGAGTTAAATCCCCGGCCCAAAGCATAGCATTTTTAAAAAACCCTTTTCTAGAAGGGACAAAAAAAGAAAGGAAATCCAAGGAAAAAATGGAAACAAATCTTGTACATGAGAGAGATGGGGGTGGGAGGAAGAAGCAAGATATATCATGTACTGGTACACATTCCCTATGATCCTATGATGAATATTAGTATGTATGTCTAAAATGTACCAATAAATATTTTTCTTCAAATAAATCCCTTTCTATAACTTTGGAAAATGTCATTTAAAATGACAGTGATCAACTAGAAGGTCAGCAAATGTCAACACAGACTTGTCAAAAGACTTAAACAGGGCTGGGCATTTAGCTCAGTGGTTTCACTGCCTGCTGCACAAGCACGAGGAACCGAGTTCAATCCCCAGTACCAAAAAATAAAAAAAAAAAAAAGCCCTAAACATTACAATGGCTTGTTATTGCTCAGTCAGTCACAGCTTTATCCAAAGGATGGTGACTGCTTAACTGATTCCTACCCTGCTTTCCTCGTTAGAATCATTTACTTGCAGGAAAGTCTAAGAGATTTAAGGATGAGCCATATTTTCAGCCAGCCCCCTTAGAGTCATGCATGGCTTCAACAGGAATACGTCCTAAGGAGTCTCTCGTTAGGTGATTTGTTGTAAGAACATCATACCGTGTATTTAAATAAACCAAGACAGCTGTGATGTCAGTAGGCGGAATCTTTTGGCCACTATCCTGTACGTGCATCTTGGCCAAAATGTTGTCGTACAGCACATGACTATATATTAAATATAGTGATCCTTGGTATCGGGTTTTTATTTTTGTTTTGTTTTGTTTTGTTTTGAAGACAGGGTCTCACAGTGTAGTTCAGGCCAACCTTGAACTCACTATGTAGCCTAGGTTGGCTTTGAACTTGTGGTTATTGTACTGCCTCAGCCTCCCAAGTGCTGGAATTACAGGTGTGTGTCACCATGCTGGGCATGGAATCGTGGTTTCTTTGCTACCCTCTCGGCCTATTGATGGTGCTCAGTTACACTTGTCAGTCATAACTGCTGTATCTTTAATTTTTTATTAGTACATTTTTGTAGTATTTAATGGTTACATCCATTGTGGGGAGTTGGTACATGTACATAACGTATCTTAATTAACTACTGCAGTCCTCAGCATTTCTCAGGAATAGGGAGAATGGACTGCTTAATCAACTTGTAAGAGATCATTTACCCAGTTTTTTCCCTTAATTGCAGGATTGGTCTTGATTTGATCAATGGTAAACCAAGAGACAACAAGCAAGCAGGAGTGTTTGAACCAACCATAGTTAAAGTAAAGAGCTTGAAATTTGCAACAGAAGCTGCAATTACCATTCTTCGAATTGATGATCTGATTAAATTACACCCAGAAAGTAAAGATGATAAACGTGGAGGTTATGAAGATGCTGTTCATTCTGGTGCCCTTGATGACTGATAATGATATAATTTATAATTTTAGATGCAGTGTCTTGTATCTTGAGAGTTACACATTAAAGTACACAAGGCTGATAACTTGTGTTCCTGTGAACTCAGAGATGGTTTTCCTCTTTCCTTTGTTCCTTGTTTCACAATATATTGCAACTTAGTACTTCGTTAGTTTAAAAAAAAAATTAGCTTTAATTTTAGACTAAATGTGACTACTGTTAAGCAGTTCATCCTCTCTGAATACACATTTCTCTTCCCATTCCACCCCAGTGCACAGGGCTGAAACACCCTACCTTCCACCCACTCTCTCCAGTGTGCATAACAGGGTTGAAGAATCCAACAGCCAGATACTCCTAGAGGATGACCCAATTGTAGCCTTTTCTTCAGTGTTGTCCTAAAGGGGAAGAAAAAATTTTCTTAGATCTTTTTTGGTTTTGGGTTTTTGTTTTTTTCAGTCCTGGAGATCGAACTCAGGACCTTGCACTTGCCAGGCAGTCATGGCGCCACTGAGCTGCATTCCTGACCCTGGATCATTTATTTTTATTTTTTTGTTTTGGTTTTTTAAAATCTGGGCCCTGGTATTTAGTTCAGGTTGACCTTAAATTTGACAGTAGTCGTCCCACTTCAGCTTCCAGAATACGCACCACCATGTGGACCTAGGTTAAAAACCCAAACTTGTGTTTTTCTTACTAATATACAAAAAAAAAACTGCTTTCAAACTGAGTTTTCAAATTAACTGCTTTGGAATAAATTGACACCTTTCTGACATTCATTGCTGACTACCTTTCCTTGTTCTTTAAAAATTATCCTCCCTCATGGCACTTGGGATCAAATTGAGGATCTTATGCATACAAGTCAAACACCCTACTGCTAAGTGACATCTATGCCCCTTTGTATTTTTGAGGCAGTCTAGCCGAGTTACCTGTGCTGGTGCCTCAAACTTATGATCCTCCTGCCTTAGCCTTCTGTGTAGCTACGATCATAGGCAATGTACCACCACATCTGGCTAGTTTAAATGTGATTTAAAAAATTTAAATTACCTTCTGGGCAACAGTTAAGGCAGGGAGTGTCACGATCCCTGACCTGAAATTATACAAAGCTACTGTGATTTTAAAAAAAAAAAGCATTGTACTGGCAAAAGAACAGACCTGAGGATCAATGGAACAAATTAGAAGATGCAAAAACAATTCCAGACATACTCAGCCACTTTCTTTGAGGAGGAGCCAAACACCTTCACTGGAAGAAAGTGTTGAATAAATGCTGCTAGAAAAACTGGCTTTCCACATGCTGAAGATTGAAACTAGACCCATATGTTTCACCATGCACTAACCTAAAATCGAAATGGATCAAAGATCTAATAAACAATCTGCTGGAAGAGAGAAGTAGAACTCTTTAAGGACATTGGTAAATGAACAAAACTCAGACCACATGAGAAATAATACAAAGAATCAACAACTAGGACCTCATCCTATTAAAAAGCTTTTGCACAGCAAAAGTCAACAACAGTGCTGGAGATTTAGCTCAGTGGCACAGCGCCTGCCCCACAAGTGTAAGGTCCTGAGTTTGATCCCCGATACCCAAAAAAAGTCACCAATAAAGTGAAGAGACAACCCACAGAGCGGGAAAACATTGTAGCCAGGTGTTCCTCGAACAAAGGACTAATATCTACAACATAAAAAGAATTGAAAATAATCAGAACTCCCAAATTTAAAGACCCAATCCAAAAATGGGCATCTGAAATGGAGATACTTCTCAGATGAAAAAGTACAAACAGCAAATAAATATATAAAAAAATGTCCAATCATTGGTCATTTGAGAGATGCAAATTAAAACAACACTGGGATTCCATCTCCAGAAAGTTTGGCTATTATCAAGAAATCAAATTTGAGGGGGGCTGTGGAGAAAAAGGAACCCTTTTCCATTGTTGGTAGGAGTGCAGACTCCTGCAACCACTGTCGAAATCAGTGTGGTAATTCCTAAAAAAAACTAGAATGAGAGATCCCATTTAACCCGGCTATTCTCTTTCTGGGTATCTTCCCAAAGGAGCTGAAAGCATCATACCACAGCAATATATGAGCACCCATGTTTATACCAACACAGTTTGTAATAGCTATAACCCAAATGCCCATCAACTGATGAATGGATAAAAAAGATGTTCTTTTATACAGTGGAGTACTACTCTGCCATAAAGAAGGATACACTTGAGACATTTATAGGTAAATGGATGCACCCTGAGACTATACTTTTACATTTCATCTTAGCCAAAAGGCCGAGAAGCAATGAGACTATATTCTTAAGTGAAATAAATCAAACACACATGTTCAAAGATCACATTGTCTCACTGGTGTGAGAAACTAAAAAGGTAAATAAAGACCAAAATGTGAAATAGGAAGAAATGGTTCAAAAGGAAAAGGGAACTAGGGAGGGGGAAAGGGGAAGGAAGGAAGGGAAGAGAAAAAAGAAGAGAAGGAAAACACGGAAACAAAGCTTTTGTAAATAAGGAGAGGAAGAGAGGTTGAAGGGAAAGGAGGGGATTGGGAGAAAAAAGAGGAATCAAGATATATCATGTACAGGTACAAATTCCCTATGATGTATGTGATCATTATGTATATCTAAATTGTACCAATAAAATGTCTTTAAAAGTTATTAAATGGAGAAAACTACCCCCCAGTTCCAATGCCTGCTCCTTGTTCTATAGGTCCTACCTCAAATGTCACCTCCTCAGGAAAGCCTCTCTTGCTATCCACTCTCAGAACTCCTGTGTGTCACAACACTCAACGACTGAAGTTCAATCACCAGTGATAGGATTTTCTGCTCAGTGTCTGTCTCCCCAGTGCCTAGAACAAGGCCTGACACATGGCAGGGACATGACAAATAAGTCCCATGCTCAGCTCTTTAGATACATTGATATCTCCTTTCCTTCAAAGCAAAACCATCAGGGAAGGACTGATCCCTAAGACTCATAAGAAACCAGCTCCATGTGCTCCAGCACAGTCCCTAATCTACTGCGCCACACTTCTGCCAGGTATCTCTTCTCTCAGTTAAAGACTTCTCAGCTTGCCAATCAGGGCATCAGGCAGCGGGCTGAGCTAGCCTTGCAGGAGGTAGGGGGACAAGGGTCAGGCTTGGGCAATGTTCCAGAGACCAGGCCAAGTGAGAGCTTTTTATAATCTGTAAGTCAGACCGTGGTCAGGTGTGAAGCTGGGGCAAGGGAGTGAGCACAGAAGAGGTCCTGCCACTGGGTCCTGGCAGTGGGGGTACTGCAGGGCATAGCAGGAAGTTTGCCACTCAGGAGGCAAGGGCAGAGGAGGGAATACATGTATGAAGACTCGTGGAGCTTGGTGTCAGGGAGATGAGAACTTTGAGTTGAAACTTGGTGCTGTGTAGTTCTGGGCAGGAGCTGTATAGGAGAACCCTGGAAGGACAACAGGGAACAACTCCTTCCTTTGCTCTCCGGAGAAGGCACCTCCTCCATCCCATCCTCAGTGGAGGCTCCTGCTCTCTCATTCTGCTTCCAGGATGCCCAGAAGCTGAGGAGAAAAGCCAGATGCTGAAGATCCTGAGGCTGCTGAGGACAGGGAGAGGAGGTTGGGATCAGGTCCAGCCATACAACCTGGCCCCCTCCCCCAGCTGCAGCCACAGTCCATCCCAACATCCTGAGCTGCAGCCCAGATGAGCAGAGGGCTGGGCCTGAGCAGGTACAGTTCAATAATCCTTCAGGGAGCCCTGATCTGTCACCTGATGTCACATCTGACCCCTTGGCAGCCTTGTCTGGCCCCTGAAATATCCTCTAGGATCCCCAGCATCCTATACCACTAGCTGGAACCCTATTATGTACAGATATTAAAATGGAAATCCAGATAGGCATGTTAGCACAGGCATGTAACCCCCGCCACTCCAGAGGGTGAGGCAGAAGCAGCACAAGTTCAAAGCTAGCCTATGTAACTTACTATGATTCTGTTTCACAGTTTTAAAAGGGACTGGGTGTGTGGCTCAATGGCAGAGTTCTTGCCTAGCATGCTTAATGCCCTAGGTTCAATCCCCAGTATTGGAGAAGAGGCAGGGGTAGAGGACCTCTATCATGCAGCACCTTCTCCATTCTCGAGGGCTATGCTGGCATGGTCTCTGGAGGCATGTTCCAGCCCTGTGACCCAGACCTAGCTCGGGTACACATGAAGAGGAGAAAGGATGTTAACTCTTGCTGTCATCTTGACTGGTTGAGAAAACCAGAGCCCCCAGCCTGCCCTGTCCTGCCCTCAACCTTCACAAAATCTGCAGCATCTGGCATCTCCAAAATCAGTGACCGCAGCTTCCCTGTGGCCCTTTCAGAGGAGGTGGCAGAGGCAAAGAGAGGAGCTGCAAGCTCCAGGTCACCCAGAAAGCTGGGGCAGGGGTTGTCCAGATCAACACAAACAAAGGAACAGGAGTTGTGGTAAGCAGAGGTGGGGTGGAGGGGAGGCAGGAGGCACCGGGAACGGGGCTGGTAGGCAGGAAAGGCTGCCCAGGGTTCTGCCCCTTGGAGAGAGCAGGGTTGTGGGAGCTGCCTGCCAGGAAGGTCAGAACTGGTTCCCAGGTGAGAGTCCCAGACCCTTGGCAGCCTCCTAGCCCAGCCCTTTCATTTGCCTCAGGGAGGTCAGGAGAAGAGGACCTCTGGAGGCTGTGTAATAGAAGCAGGAGGAGGAAACTCAGCTGCTAGTCCATGAGCAAGAGTTGATGGGTTGCTTTACAGCCAGCCTCCTGCTCAGCTTAGTGCCAGCCCAATGTCCACCCTGTCCCCTGCCCCTATGAGAACATGATGAGGGAGCTGCTGCTCGGGTCTCCTGGCGTCATCTTAGTGCTGAAGATGATCCCAGTGCCAGAGACCCCCCGCAGGCTCCCCCCCATCCTGTCCCCACCTGCTTGCAGACCCCTGCTGTCATCAACATCACCTTATTTCTATTTGTTCTCCAGATGTCCCTGGACTTCCCACACCTGAGAAGCCAACAGTGGGCTTAGGTCCCCCTGTGTCCCCTCTGCTACACCCTGCTGGTGTCTTAGTGGGGAGACCATGAGCTCATCTCATCTCCCCTTGCTCTCCCAGGGTCCCCTCTGTATGTCTTTGCCTCCTCTGCCATCGTCTTCTGAGTGGCAAACTTCTGCATATGCCCTGCCAGTGAGGAACTGCAGTACCCCCACTGCCAGGACCCCAGTGACCCAGTGACTTCTCCTGTGTTCACTCCCTTGCCCCAGCTTCACACCTGACCGTGGTCTGACTTATGGGTTATAAAAAGCTCTCACTTGGCCTGATCTCCGGACCTGGTCTCTAAGCCTGACCCTTGTCCCCCTACCTCCTGCAAAACTGGCTCAGCTCCCTGCCTGATGCCCTGATTGGCAAGCTGAGAAGTCCTTTAAGACTCTGTTTGAGAGAAGAGGTACCTGGCAGAAGGATGGTGCAGTGGTTCAGACCCACACCCTTGGCCCATACCTGTCTGGACAAGCAGTGCCAAAGCCCCACCAGGTGGCAGGTGAGCCCCCCCCCCAGGCCTGTGGCTAGGTTCATGGACCTGCCCTCTCTCTCCTCCTTCCCTGGTAGACTCTACCTCCCTTGGCCCTGAGTCCCACATCACCCCTGCATCCCTACCCCCATTCCCAGCAAGAATAGCAGAGGCTCTAGGGTCCCCAAGACACCCTGACAACATAATCTCAGGTAATTAGCAAAAAGGAGCATGGACTCTGAACCTCAATACTTTTCTCATCCCTGTGTGGTCCTTTCAGAATCCTGTCCTTGGTCAGAAAAAATCCAAGGTAGGAGAACAAGTGTGTGGGGGGGTGGGGGACCTGCTATATGAAGAGCTGTTAGAAATATTTGCAGTGTCATTTCCCACACAGCCCCTCCTGTGAGCAGCTCTGTTTCTGTGACCAGATAGACCATGTTCCCAGCCCAGGCCTCTCACCAGCTCTGAATGTGACCAAATGTCCGATTCTCTGATCTTCCGTGGACTCATCTCAGAAAGTCATCCCCACCCAGAGATGTAGCTGTGGCATTCTCAGTCCAGAGTGTGGGCCCAGACAACTCAGTTAAGGATCCTCACAGGGGGAGGAGAGAGCAGGTGGGCGGCATGACTCGCTGCCCCTCACCACCTGGGCCATGCTGTGCTGCTGCAGGTGTGGTGACAAAACTGAGCCACTAGGGGGGGCATTGTGCCAGGAGCTGAGCTGGCCAGACTGATTGCTGGCACCGCGGCTGGTTCATGCTGAAGGACCTATACTCTCTCCTGGTACCACCAGTCCCAGGTGAGACCTCCACTCACACTTGCGCAGGTAGCAAGTAAGTCACCTCAGAGTGTCAATGTTGTCTCTGTTCCACCATCTATCCTCCTAGATCCCAGTCTTCCTATAAAATGAGGATGGTTCTTTGGAAAGAAATGAGTTAATATGTGTATAAAAGAAGTTTGGAGAGAGTCAGGCATGGTCCTGCATGCCTGTAATTCCAGCCCTCAGGAGGCTAAGGCAGGAGGAATCACAAGTTCAAAGTCTGCACTACATAGCAAGTTTGAGGCCAGCCTGGACTGCAAAATGAGATCCTGTCTAAAAAATAAAAATAAAATTTTTAAAAAGGCAAAAAATAACAAAGTAGTAGTTTGGAGGGTCTGGGGTTGTAGCTCAGTAGTAGAGTGTGCACAAGGCTCCAAGTTTATCCCTAACACTCCCCACCAAAAAAAAGTTTGGAGAAAGCATCGTAGGAGGGATAGATGAAATCACTTTTATTCTGTCCATGTCTTCTTTTTCCAATATTCTGTCTATCCTGGGTATGGGCCATTCAATCATTCAGTTAACACTCAGGTTTCTACTGTACCCAGCTCTGAACTGGACACTGAGGACACAGGAAAGACATGAACAGCTTACGCCCCTCTAGAATGTTGAGGCAGGCAGGGGAGAGGGATGAATACATTCGCAAGGATAACATGGCAACAGGTGCTAAGATGAAGCAACAGACCAAGAATGTGTGTGAACTCAGCAGAGGTGCTCCTTCCAGCCAGAGGAGTCCAGAAGCTTCTTTGAGAAAGCAACCCCGAGGGTTAATCAGGTGAAAGAGGAAATAAAGCCCGGAAGAGAAAGGCATTTGCTCAGCTCAGTGGTAATGAAGCAGCTTCGTGACTGCCTGTGAAAGAACAAATACATTCATGAGTGGGCTCCTCTTTCTTGGCTCGCCCTTCCTTCCTTCCTTTCTTGCTGTCCTGGGGATTGGACCCAAGGCCTAGCACATGCTGGGCAAGCGCTCTGCCCCGAGACATCCCTAGCCAATGGCTGTATCTCTGAATGTCTTTGCTCCCCTTTCCTGGCTCAGAGGTCCCTCTCGTCCTGAGCCCCAGAAGCCAAAAGACATGTGATTAGAACCAGGAAACACCCTCTCCCCTCTACTGCCCTGAGAGCCCCAAGAGTAACTGAGGAGCTGACCAGGCCTTGGCCAGAACTCCAGGGCCGGGGATTTAGCCCAGTGGTGCTGTTGCCTGCCTTGCAACTGCAAGGTTCTGAGTTCAATCCCCAGTACCAAAAAAAAAGAACTCCAAGCTGACCTCATGCTGTAGCCCCCCTTCCCCCCAGGATGAAAAGGACCAGGGCTCATCAATGTCTCCAACTAGAGCCTGGAAAGTGGATGTCATCAGAAGAAAACATAGTTGAATCCTGGGGTGTGATGGGCCAGGCGATGGGGAGGGAAAGGGGAATGAAGGGTAGGAGGAAGGTGGTGGGACCCCCAGTCCAGCCTGTCTGGGCTCTGGATGGCAGGAGGCTGAGTGATGCACTTCTGCTCCCCAGCAGGGGGCTCCAGCTCTCCCATGACGTGCACAAACCCTTTGTCCTTGTTCCTGATACCCTCTCCTATCTGAACATGTGAGTGCCACATGGCTCCCAGCCTCTGAGTGCTTGGGAGCTGAGACTCTAACCCCAGCAGTCTGACAGTAGTTGGTCAAGGTGCTTACTTCTCTAACCCTCAGTTTCATCATCTGTACTTTTTTTTTTTAAACAGTCTTGCTATGTAGTTCAGGCTGGCCTTGAACTCAGTATGTAGCCCACACTAGCCTCAAACTCACCGGTGATCCTCCTGCCTCAGCCTCCCAAGTGCTGGAATTACAGGCATGTGCCACCACGCCCAGATCATCATCTGTAAAATGGGCAAATAAAACTTCCTACTTCTGGGCCAGGGATTTAGCTCAGTGATTCCACCGCCTGCCTCGAAACCGCACGGTCCTGAGTTCGAGTTCGATCCTTGGTACCAAAAAAAAAGTTCCTACTTCTTTGAGTTGTTTGGAAGATCAAATTAGAAAAAGATGTAAGTTGGGCTTAGCTACAGGCAGGAAGGTTACAGTTTCAGTCCAGCCTGATCAGCTTAGCAAGTCCTTATCTCAAAATACAAATTGAAAAGGACTGAGGATGTAGCTTAGTAATAGAGCATTTGCCTAGCATTCACAAGTCTCAGGGTTCAATTCCCACTACTATTAAAAAAGAGGGGTGGAGGAAGACGACAAGCAAGAATGGAAACCACCTGAGACCAGTTTGCTCCTCCCTAGGTGGGCACGCCAACTTCTTACCTGCATTGGCAAGTACCTTCTAGGCTGAGCTCCCTCAGCACAAGAAGAAGGTGGATATCTCACAAGGGCAGGAGGAAAGTGGCTCTCAGTAGAGCCTCTGCCTTTCTGGAATGGGACTGGAGCGCTGATCTCCTAGCCTAGTCCCTGAGCCCCCAAACCCTGTGGGGAGTCTGCTACAGTGAGATGGAAGCAGAAGGGCATGGCGATGAGGCTGGAGTCTGCTTAGCCCCAGCAAGGAGGGACTGCTTTGGTGGGAGGCGGAGGGTGAAGAGAAGAAGGATGTGGGGCTCAGGCCAATGCCCCCCACTCCTTTCAGCCCATCTGACTTGGAGTGCACTCCATGGAGGCCCATCCTCGGCCCACCACCACCACTACCACCTCCACCACAGCACAGCACAGCCTCCTTCAGCCTCCAGCAGGCTGAGTAGGGCACTGGATGGGAGCTTCAGGAGGCATAGCCTTGTCCTGCTTCCACAGCAGTGAAGGAGCACCAGAAGGAATGATCTGAGGACTGAGGCACAGTGGTGTGTCCCTCCTGGGCCAGCCACAGCCCCTGGCTCATGAACAGCAGTGGAGCTCTTCCATGCAGCATAGGCCACACCCTACCTCGATGAGCCAGTGCACCACATGCAGGTGCTGCCAAGCCCACTCAAGGTCAGCTGGGGATGCCGGGTATGGCGAGGGACTCAGTTCTGGGCTCCAGGCCACAGTGGCTCCCAGCTCTACTCTGGGTTCCAGACTGAAGGCTCTGAGCTTTGGGCTCCAGTCTGGGCTCAGCTGCTGAATGGGCCAAGTTCTAGGATCTTGGCTAAGATTTGAAGTCTCACTCAGGATCCTGGTGCCACGCTGGCCAGGTTCTGGCTATAGGACTCTAGAGTTAGCTCTGGGCTCAGGCTCTGCCCCTTCCATGGGTGGTCACAGCTTCTTACTCCCCTGCCCTCTTACAGGCAAAGCTGCAGGAGCTGCAGGCCCTGGAGGAAGGTGTCTATTTTATGTGAGACATACTTTTCTAGCAAATAAAGTAGATTTCTAGCAAATAAAGTAGATTATGTGCCTTTCTTTTAGAATCAGGAGAGGACTGGGAAGAAAAGCTGTAGGGCTGAGGTGCTTCTCTGTCACAGGGTGGGTGTTAAGCCCCTGCTGTGTAGCCCATGGCTGTACTTGAGACTCCTGCCTGCCAGGAGCTCTGGGCTCTGGTCCTGCTCACATCCCCCCTCCCCAGCACCTTGGAGCCCAGCGGTGCTCCTCATCCTATCTTCAGGGGGTTGGGTGAGAAACTTTCACTTGGCAGATGGGGGAACAGACCTAGAGCAGAAGGGCAAAGAGGGCAACCCCAAGCAGGATGGTGGTTCAGGTACCTGGAGGGGAGGAGAGGGTGCAGATGAGAAACGTCCTGACATTAAACCTCTCTCTCCTCTCCTCAGCCCAGCCTCACCTCCAGCTTCTAGATCCAGAGCAGGACCATGTCCTTTGGCTCCATCCAGGGCATACAGGAGACCTGATCTCTGCTGTCAGCCTCTGGCCTCTGAGCCTAGCCCAGCAGCCCCTCCCTGGAAGGTGTCCCTGGCTGCTTCTGTGGGGTGCAGAGGGGGCAGTGGGAGGGGCTCCTAGGCCGGAATGCCTGGATAGAATGCAGAAGGCTGGAAGTTACTGCCACCTATGATCTCACTGTGAGGGGGAGCAGAGCCACCTGGAGGAAAGTTTCTTTTAGGGGGAGAAAGAGTAACAGTGACCTGGTGGCAGCAAGGCACAGAAACAAACAAGGGAAATATTTGAGCATCCTGGAAGGGGGCCCCTGCAAGGGTCCCCACCGAGCTGTCACTTGAGGGTGGGCAGAGGCTGTGGCTGCACTGAGGGCCACTTGTCTTTCCTGCAGAGAACCATGCACCACCACTTCAGCCAGCCACAGGAGCAAGTGCTCATCAACTGCCAGGACATCATAAACAAAAAGGTGGTCATGGGCGGGCTGTGGGATTGGCAACAACCCTCTACATCCATCCTACATTCCATGGTCTCCAGCTACCCCCATCTAGAGCAGATTCTCAGGACACTCCTTCCCACCACTCACTGAGAGCAAAAGTCCATCCAGAGACCACCGTGGTGACAACACCTGCCTGAAGGATGGTCTCCACCCTCTCCCAGGATGCCTGGGACAAGCAAGAGTTCATCCGCATGTCCATCCAATACATGCTGCAACATCCGGCCTTCCATCTGCTGCTGGCCTCACTGCTGGTGACCAATGCCATCACCATCGCTCTCCGCACCAACTCCTTCCTTGACCAGGTGGGACAAAAACCCAACCCCTGCCCCCATTGGCTCTGATGGGGACCAGGGCAGGCACTTCCCCCTCAGGTTCCTTGTCTGACTGTGATGGTTGGATGGATGCTCTTCAAGGGTCAGTCCAGTCTGACCTGCCAGAGATCTGGAGGTCAGGAAGACTGTGGTGCAGGGGGCTCTGGAGGTTGATTTGAGGAAAACACTGGATTTGTAGAAGGGCAAGAGAAGAATGGCGGGAATAGAGGCAGTCAAATGGGCACTTTGTGGGGAGTGGTGGCTAAACTTGATCATGGTCACTAAAGGAGAGTCACTCTGGGCCAAGTGCTGACTCTGCTTGGTACCAAGGATTCAGGTAAAGAACACCAGTTCCTGTCTCAGGCAGATGCAGACACACTATTATGGTCCCTGAGTATCAGAGTGTGTGGAGCTCAAAGACAGCAATCAAACCTAACCTGGGAAGTCAGGGAAGGCTTCTTGGTGAAGGGGGCATTTAAACTGAGAGTAAAGAATGAACAGAAAACTAGATGTGGTGGTTCATGCCTATAATCCCAGTACTCAGGAGGCTGAGGCAAGAGGATGATGAGTTTGAGGCCAGCCTGGGGTACATAGTAAGACCCTACCTTAAAATAAAATCCAGTCAGAGTTAACCTCGCAAAATGAGATAGTGAAGAGGGGAAGAGTGTTTTGGACAACAGAAACAGCATGTGAGAGAGTTCTGTGTGTCCAGTTGAAAGTCTAGTGACTTTGGTCATATTGATGTTTTCATTTCTTACAAAGAGTATACATGCATGTATTGTGTGATTTAAAATCAGTATGTCAGCCTGGGAGTGTAGCTTAGCAGTACAGTGCCTGCCTAGCATGCACATAGCCCTGTGTCTGATCCCTTGCTGCAAAAATAAATATGTTCAGTGTGGTGGTAGCAGATAAGCTCAAAGAGGTGGTCAGTGGCCAAAACACACTTGGTCTTTCTGTTACGTCAAGAAAGGTGACTTTCTCCTTTGTCAGCAGAAAGCCAGGGAAGGGTTTAAAGCATTGAAGTGGAATGATCAGACTCAGGTTTTAGAAAACTTACAGTGGCTGCCACAGTGTGGACTGGGGCGGGGGGTGGGGTGGGGTGGGGAGGGTTTGCTGAGAATGGAGAAGATGGGCCAGAAGAGCTGCTGCTGCAGATCTGCTGGTGAGGGATGCTGGGACTTGGAGCAGGAAAATGGCAGTGGAGGAACGGGTCAGAAGCACTGGCAGCTCTCTAGGGTTGAATCCATGAACCTTCCTGATTGATCATATTCCCAGCTCACATTTAGTGAGCACAGACTCTGTGCCACTTTGTGTCACAACACACGTCCTTCCTAATCTCAGCCATGCAGACAGAGAGCAGGAAGGAAGTTTCTGACTGGAGTAGTGGTGTGGTGTGGAGCTGGTGCTGTGCCGGGACGCGGTGGGCATGGGGCACACAGGAGGAAAAGCAGGTTGCAGAGGTCAGGGTGAGCTGTGTGGTGTCTGTGATACCTGTGCAGTGTCCACAGATGTCTTGAGAGGAATCTAAGGCCAGGGCCAAAAGGAGGTGGAGGGCACTGGCTGGAGATGGACACGTGAGAGCTGTCTACACTCCTGTGCCCAGGCTGAGGTGGGGACACTGCCCTGCAGAGAGTTGATGAGAGAGGAGAGACAGGACAGATCCCAGGCCCCCTCCCCGCCTGGCCAGGTCCTTTCCCGCGGACCGCATGCGCCCTCAGTCTCTTTCTGCGAGGCCTTGGCTCCCTCGCGCAGCCGCTGCCGCCCCTAGGGCCCGGCCAGGATGCTCCCTGCCCGCGGGCGGAGGCGTGGGACGCGTAGGAGCTGGGCGCCCACTGCTACCTCGCGTGGAGAAGGCACGGGCCCGCGGCGAAGGGGGCCAGGGCCGCTCCTTCACGCTGGAGACTGGCGGGGCTGCATCTGAGGTACCTGCCCACCGGGAGCTTTCCCTTACTTCTCCTGCTGCTCCTCTGCATCCAGCTCGGGGGAGGACAGAAGAAAAAAGAGAATCTTCTGGCTGGAAAAGTAGAACAGTTGATGGAATGGAGTTCCAGGTACTCAGTCTTCCGAATGAATGGTGATAAATTCCGAAAATTTATAAAGGCACCACCTCAAAACTCTTCCATTATCGTTATGTTCACTGCTCTTCAGCCTCAGCGGCAGTGTTCTGTTTACAGGCAAGCTAATGAAGAATATCAAATACTGGCTAACTCCTGGCTCTATTCGTCTGCTTTTTGTAACAAACTTTTTCATTATGTCGACTATGATGAGGGAACAGATGTTTTTCAGCAGCTCAACATGAACTCTGCTCCTACGTTCATGCATTGTTCCTCCAAAAAGCAGACCCAAGAGAGCTGATACCTTTGACCTTCAAAGAATTGGATTTGCAGTTGAACAGCTAGCAAAATGGATTGCTGACAGAACGGATGTTCATATTCGGGTTTTTAGACCACCCAACTACTCTGGCACTATCCCTTTGGCCTTGTTAGTGTCACTTGTTGGTGGTTTGCTCTACTTAAGGAAGAACAACTTGGAGTTCATCTACAACAAAACTGGTTGGGCCATGGTATCTCTGTGTATTGTCTTTGCGATGACATCTGGCCGGATGTGGAATCGTATTCATGGACCTCCATATGTTCATAAAAACCCACACAATGGACAAGTGAGCTACATTCATGGCAGCAACCAGGCTCAATTTATGGCAGAGTCACACATTCTGGTACTGAATGCTGCTATCACCATGGTGCTATCACCATGGCGATGGTTCTTCTAAATGAGGCATCTCCAAAGGAGATGTTGGAAAAAGACAGATAATTTGCCTAGTGGGATTAGGCCTGGTGGTCTTCTTCTTCTTCTTCTTCAGTTTTCTACTTTCAATATTTTGTTCCAAGTACCATGGCTATCCTTATAGCTTTTAAATTAAATGAAGCCAAGTGGGATTTGCATAAAGTGAATATTTACCATGAAGATACTGTTCCTGACCATTTTGAATTTTTGAGTTCTTTTTTTGTTCCTTCTGATAAGCTAGCTTATTCTTGTATACATTTTTTTAACTGTGGGTTTTCCTAGTCAATTTAATTTATGGAAATGGATAGTAACGTTCAGTAATCAGCAAAGGAAACATTAAAATGTTTTTTCAAACATATTCAGTGTATATGGTAGGATTGGAATAAATGACAATATAGCTATAAAAAAAAAAGGTCCCAAAGAAAGCCTCACACATAAGGGGCAGGAAGGGAGGTGGAGGCAGAAAAGGAGACTGAGGAGGAGTGGCCCTGGTGTTGGGACAGCTCAGGAGAGATGCCCAGGCAGCAGTGCCAGATGTGGCGAGATTTGGCTGATGAGGTCCAGGAAGCGTCCTCCAGGTTTGCGCCACTGACCTGCAAGCACTGGAGCCAGCTTTGTGTGGTGGAGGCAGAAACATACCTGCCAAGTCTGCAGAACAAGCAGAGTGGACAGAGAGGAACAGAGCACAAGCTGCAACAGGCTGTGAAATCAATCCAGAGTGCAAATGCCAACTTTATGTTTTGCTTTGCTTTGTTTTGTTTTGTTTTGTTTTGTTTGAGACACTATATAGTCCAGCTGGCTTTGAACTTGCTATGTAGCCCAAACTGGCCTTGAGCTTGTGATCCTCCTGCCTCAGCCTCCTGGGTGCTGGGGTCACAGGCATGTACCACAACACCTGGCAAGAAGCTCTTTCTCTGGGCTCATAGCCATGATCCCTGACAGCACTTTGGGAATTTGAGGCAGGCAACGGAACCATTGAGCTAAAATCCCCGGCAACTTTGGGAATTTGAAAGAAGCAAAAAGGCCATAAACCTTAACCCACATCTAAGTAGAAGCTCTAAACAGCCTGGCTTTGAGTATAGGTGGTGGTGGCAGGCATAGGCAGCAGGGAAACCCCATGTGCAGTCGTGAGCTCCAAGGAACTGAGTCTGTTGACCAATGGAATAAAGGGAGGCGATGAGCCAGGCATGGTGGCTCATGCCTGTGATCCCAGCACTCTGGGAGACTGAGGCAGGAGGACTGCAAGTTCAAGCCCAGCCTGGGCAACTTAGCAAGACTCTGTCTCAAAATAAAAACTAAAAACTAAAAAGGGCTGAAGATGTAGCTCAGTGGTACAGTGCCTCTTGGTTTGATCCCTAGTACCACCACAGACACGCGCACACACACACACATACACACGTTGGGGGAAACAAAGTGACTTCGGTGACATCGGGCTGAAATGGGGTGGGGAGGGTAACAGACTGTTAGTAGAGGTCATAGCTATAAGGCAGCTGAAAGAGGCTGAATTGAGGCTAGGCAGAGGTAAGTTGGGTTCAGACAGATCCTAGTAGTCATCTCCCAGAGTACCTGTTCCTGGACCATAAAAGAAGGAAGACACCAGGAGCTAGGTCAGGACTGGCCTGGGGGACTCAGGGTGCTGGAGCAACAGGAGTGGTTGGGACACACAGAGAAGGCACCTGGGCTTGGTGTCCCCCAGCCTCAGGGGTGAGGCCTCTTCTTCCCACAGCTGGGCCTGCTCAGCCTCCCCTACCTTGCTTCCCCAGATCCTCCTACCCTAGAGGCTGGGGGCAATGGGGCAAAGGTCTTTGGTCAACAGTGATCTTTTCTGACTAACTGTGCACTGGACTTCTCTCTAGTCCTTGTCTGGAAGATGGGAGTAGGAGCTGCTTTTTTTTTTTTTTTTTTGAGACAGGGTCTTGCTGTGGAGATCAGGTTGACCTTGAACTCACAGCAATCCTCCTTCCTCAGCCTCCTGAGTGCTAAGATTACAGGCATGTGCCACCACTCCTGGTTGGAACCTGCTCTTCAGGACAGTACTGACAGTCACATAAGACAGTGCATGGATGGTCTCAGCACAGGACCTTGGGTGTACAGGGAACATGTGCACCAAAGGGAGCGATAGAGGTGCTGGGAGGAGCAGCAGCAGGGACACAGGCTTCCCCTCCCTGAAGATAGCCTGTCCCTGCCTGGCCCAGGTCCTGCTCACTGATGCCCTGCACCTCTTTCCATCTGCCTCCCACTTAGAAACACTACGAGTTGTTCTCAGTCATAGATAACATTGTGCTGACCACCCTCATCTGTGAGGTTCTTCTCCGCTGGCTCAGTGACTTCTGGATTTTCTGGAAGGTGAGATCTTGGGACCTCTCTCCCATTGCCCTTCCTCTCCCTGAGGGCTAACCCACCAGAGCAGTGTCTGTATGTGGGGTGGGGGGGAAGAGAGAGTGGAAAGAAAGGGAAGAAGAGGAGAAAGAGAGGTGAGCGAGTTTATGACATGTCTGCGATGCAGCACAACGTAGGTTCTAATTCCAAATCCCCACTCCATCCCCCAGCTCTGTAGTCAGGTACACCTTGATTTCTGTATCTGAGAAATAGGGTTCTGGAGCAGCAGTCAGCAAACTTCTTCTGCAACCCACCAGAGAATAAATATGATGTGTTGCAGGCTCTACATTCTCTGTTGCAACAACTCACCTCTGCAGGGGGCACAAAAGTGGCCACACAGCACACATGTACTGGAACATGGTTGCATGCCAACACAACTTTTTGGGGGAAGATGGGGTATTTTTGAGATGGGGGGTCTCACTGTGTCACCCAGTTGGCCCCAAACTCCTCTGCTTCAGTGATCCTCCTGCCTGAACCTCTAAAGTAGCTGGAACTACAGGTGCGTGCCCCTCATGTCCAGCTGTAGTCCAATAAAACTTTATTCGTGGGCACTGAACTTTGAATTTTCTATACTTTTAACATTTCACAAAGTGCTTTTCTGATTTTCTCTGGTCACTTGCTTTACTCCTGATTCCTGACTTGTTTTCTGTCTTCTTTCTGGAGGTCTCTTCCCATCTCTCCCAGGCCAGGTAGGTGCTGTTCTGTCTCTGAGACACTGCGTATCTCCCTCTCACACATGGAGTGAAAACGTAGTGTCTCTCCACCTCAGGCAAAATGGTCTGTGAGTCCAGGAAGGCAGAAGCCTCGGATCCTCAGGAAATGCTTCAGGGTGCGGCATACACTGAATGGATAACGGGGATGGAGCCTTAGACAGTCAGACCTTGTGTCTGTGCAGGGACAGAAGGAGCACAAGACGTTAGGATAACTTGGGTTTATTGAGCTGCCCCTGAACTTTAAGAGCATTCTCCCCATTAAAATATATTTTCAGAATATTTAATGCAGATACATACTGGTCAAAACTATATTGAAAAATTTACACAGAATTCTTGTTCCATTCCAGTCCCCTCCTCCCTTCCCCCCCCCACCCCGGGTGATCTTCTTATACTTATAATCTCTTGTTGATCTCCTCCCAAACCCCAGTAGTTATTTTGACCATCATAAGTAAATAGATACCTATACTTAGTCCTCCCTTTCTTGACAGTAGCATCCTTTGCTTTTGTTGCTGACTGGATGCTGACAATCTTTCTGTGTTAGTACCTGGAGATTTTTCTCATTAGTCTTCTTTTACAGCTACATATACTCCATAAAATGAAGGTACTGGTTTATTCAACCAGTCTTTGATCGCTGGGTACTCTGGTTGTTTTCAACTTTATACAAATGTCATTTTGTACCTATACCAGAGTATCACTGGATCAGATCATTGGTCAAATTGTACATACAGATGAGCTTCTTTCCTGAACCCTGTCCTGGACAAGGACATGCCTCACTAAACAAACTAAGGGCATGCAAAAATTGGCCTCTCTCCCTTCCTTGTGCTGTAAGTGTGATTTTACTTTTGCTTGCTGCTGAAGCAGTTGATGTCTTTACTAGTGTTACTTTTGTTTTATTCAAGGTAGTGTGTGTCCCACAAAGGCAGAGCACACACATGTTCTCAGGTCACCTCATTATCAGGCAAGGCCACTTTCTGCAGGTGACTGGCCCAGGCAGCCTCAGTTTAGGGATGTCTGTGTAGGTGTGAAGGGAAGGTCTTCACTGGAGTCTCTGGGGTTGTGCTGGTTGTCAACACAGGTGTCAGGGAGTGCATATGTGTTTTGAGGCCTTTCTGGGGATGACAGTATGAGCCCTGCTCTGAGAACACTGAGCTCTTGTCCTTGGAGTTTGGGAAGGCAAACTCAGGATGCCCCATGGCTAGGCCTGATGAACCCCACTGGGGCTCGCCCACCCCCAGGACGGATGGAACATCCTCAACTTCTTCATTGTCTGCATGTTGGTCTTGGGGGTCCTGGATGTGGTCAATGTCTCAATCACCTACTGTCTCAGGTAAGCAGGGAGCTCTGGAAAAGAAGGAAACCTGTCTGTACCCCAAGAACTGGAAGGGAGGGCTGTTCCCAGCTGGGGCTCAGCGCCCTCTCCCTGGGAAATTGGAGGGAGGTCTGATAGGGCCAAGGGACAACCCTAAGAGGGTTTGCCACAGGGTGCTCCGGCTGGTGCATGTGTGCATGGCGGTGGAGCCTCTGGCCCGGATCATCCGTGTCATCCTGCAGGCGGGGCCTGGCATGGCCCAGATCGGGGTCCTCATCCTCTTTGTCATGCTGGTCAGTGCCACTCCCCTTCTCTTATTAGAGCTCCCGGGGCTTTGGGAAGAGAGGGGTACCTGGAGAAAAGAGGCTTACAGGTCTGAACTCTACATTTATTTTCCTTGGCAACATTTATTTGCATCCTATTTGAATTCATTTTCATGTTTTGTCTCCAAGTACCCTGAGTGAAGCTAGGGCGGGGCTTTGGTCTTTGGCAGGTTTTTGCATTGCTTGGGGTCACACTCTTTGGTGAGTTTGTGCCTATCCATTTCGGGAATCTGGGGGTGGCCTTGTATACGCTCTTCGTCTGCCTCACGCAGGATGGATGGGTGGACATCTACAGCGACTTCCGGTGAGTGCCCTCGGCTTCAGGCTTCCTTCTCCCAAAGAGGCAGAGCTCCTATAGGGCAGGGAGGCTGAGGATGGGGGTGCTGTCAAGGTGCATGTGGGCTCCTGGGGGGAGGAAGTGGGTCTAGCAAGAAGGTGGTGTCCAATCTTTAAACTGAGGAAGATAAGTGTCCGAAGTGAGGCTCTAGGCCTGTGGTACTAAAATCCTTGTCCCCCTAGAAACTTCATGCATTCAAAGTGCCATCTGACCCTGCTCATGCAGACTTGTCCTGTCATGTTAAACAGCTAGGTGGCTAGAGGGTGCCCATGGTCAGGGGCAACCTGCAGTCTCCATGGGAGCCCAGCTGCTGCCTAGACCCTTGAAAGCCTCAGGCTTATTTCATGAATGCTCAGACTGACCCTGCAAGGTCATATTTCTGTCTTTTTTTTTTTTTGGTACCAGGGATTGAACTCGGGTCTTTACACTTGTGCAGCAGGCGGCGAAACCACTGAGCTAAATCCCTGGCTCTATATTTCTGTTCTTTATCTGTTCACTGGTCCATCCAAGCTAGATTTCTTTCCAGTCCACTCCACAAAGTGGGGCCCTGACAGATTTTTTTTTTTGTCCCCTTCATGAAGGTAGAAGCCCATAGGTAACTGTTTCTAAAATTGTACTGGGGGTGTTAGCAGGTTGAGATCTTAACCAGGTTCTTCATGTCCTAAACAAAGAATTGAGCAGGACATCCAAGAGTTTGAGCAAGATCAATGATTCATGTGAAAGAGAAAAGAGATAATTTTTTTTTTTTTGAGACAAGGTCTCACTTTGTGTTCAGGCTAGCCCTGAACTCATTCTGTAGCCCAGGCTGCCCTCGAACTCGTGACAATCTTCCTGCCTCTGCCTCCCGAGTGCTGGGATTACAGGTGTGCGCCACCACGCCCGGCAAGAGATAATATTTCATGGGAGATTTACAACAAAATATTAACAGCAGGTAACTCACCAGATGAGAATTTAAGTCTGTATATAAAGTACGACCAAAAAGCAATCAATGTTTAAATTTTCAAAAAATTATTGCAATAATAAAAATTTTATAAATTATTATAATAAAAGACACATTGCCATTAATCCCCATCAAGATATTCCCCCTCACTTTGAACACATTTATACCATCCTTCTTACCACTTTCGTTTTGTTTTTTTTTGAGATGGTCTCACTATGTCGTGCAGGCTGGCTTTGAACTCGTGGTGATCTTCCTGCCTCAGCCTCCTAAGAGTGCTGGTATTACAGGTGTCCACCACCATGCCTGGCTTCTTACCACTTTCTAAAGCAGTTCTCAAAGTCCTCTTTCGGGACTGTCTTTAGTTGTGCTGGCGTGGCTACCTCGATGACCTAAATCTATTCAAAATGCTTACCTTTCAAGGTCTTTTTTTTGGTACCAGGGATCGAACTCAGGACCTTGTGCTTGCGAGGCCAGCGGCAGAACCACTGAACTAAATCCCCAGCAAGGTTATTTTGACTTTGGGGGAGAGCCAGAAGTTGCATGATGCCAGATCTGGTGAGGAAGGTGGATGGGGACACACCGTCCTGCCTTTCTGCTGGATGACATCAGCACCAGCATTCACTGTATTTTTTATCACATCTTGTAAGGACACAAAAGAAGACTACCAGAACTGCTTAAGAAAATGGCAAGAGCCGGGTATTTAGCTCAGTGGTGCTACCGCCTGCCTCACAAGTGCAAGGTCCTGAGTTTGATCCCCGGTACCAAAAGAAAAAACAAAACCCCCCACAAGATTAAAAAAAAGAAAAGAAAGAAAGTAGCAAGAATGATGGGATAAGTGTGTTCCAAATGAGGGGTAGCACCTGTATTTTGAAGATTAACTGCAATGTGTGTTTTAGTGTAATTTTTTTAACATTCACCATATTTTTTTATCACATCTCATGTTTTTTTCTTCCAATCTTTCTATCATGAGTTTGAATTGTTTTTTATAATAAGACAAAAAAAGCCAGGCATAGTGGCACATGCCTACAATCCCAACACTTGGAAGCAGGAGGATAACAGCGAGTTTGAGGCCAGTCTGGGCTACAATAGTGAGTTCAGTGAGTTCAAGGCCAGCCTGAAATACTTAGTGAGACCCTGAATCAGAAAAAAACAAAACAAAACAAAACAAATGAATAAAATAGTTAATGGGAGCCAGATGCAGTGTAATCTCAGCACTTGGGAGGCTGAGGAAGGAGGATTATGAATTCAAGGCCAGTTGGGACTACATACTGGGACCGTGTCTCAGGGAGAAAAAAGAGTATAGCAAACGGGTCTGGAGGTGTACCTCAGCACTATAACTCAGGCTTAGCATGCACAAGACCCTGGGTTCAATCCCCAGTTACCTCAAAACCAAACAGAGCCAGGGATTTAGCTCAGTGTTTCCGTCACCTGACCTGCAAGCACAAGGACCCGAGTTCGATCCCCAGTACCAAAAAACAAACAAACAAACAAACAAAACAAACTTATGGCAAATAGATGTAACTCAGTAGTGGTGACCTACTAGTTACCTTGCAGGGCTGGCTTGAGAGTTGGCCCACAGTGTGGCAGCACAGCAGGTGCACAATAAAGAGCTGCTGCTATGACAACCAGATAAGAATTAGATCTACATAATAGCTGAGAAGAAGGCAGAATTCCCAGTAGGCCTTTCAGTAATTTCCCCATTTCATAGATGAGGAAACTAAGGCTCAAAGGGCCAGGGGGTGATGGGGCCCCTGCCTACTATGTCCAGGATAAAAGAAAGAGACTACGCACTGGAGATTGGGGGAGCCATCTACTTTGCTGTCTTCATCATCATTGGTGGCATCATTGGCATGAACCTGCTTGTTACTGTAGTGATCAGGAATCTGGAACAAATAATGAAGACAAAGGAGCAGGAGCAACAGCATCAAAAAAACTTTAGTGAGGTTTGTGGGAAAGGGATGGCAGGAGAGAAGAGAGAGAGTGTGTGTGTGAGTGCTGACTTGAGTATATGTGTCTGTGCATGTGTGTGCTTGGACACTCAAGGGCCTGGAGAAAGCCAGGCCCAACACCTGGAGGCAGGAACTCCCATCTGAAGTGCCACTCACTATCTGGGTGGTGTGGATTTCCTAGATGTTATGTTTCTACAGTAACTCCAAACTGAGAGGTTGGGTATTTAACCAATTTAATCTTCAATTTCTTCTCCTATAATATTGGACTAATATTGGACTATAATATTACTACTTATCTCACATGGCTGTGATGAGGATTATATGGATAAATGAATAGTGCTTGGGACATAGTAAGCACTCAATAAATGTCAGCTACAGCGTATTCATTCAGGAGTAGAAATTCCTTAAGGTTGGACAGGGAAATACAGTACAGTATTTCCAGAAGGGCTGCAGCAGCACTCTGGGAAGCTAAGGCAGGAAGATTGCAAGTTTGAGGCGGGGCATGGTGGCGCATGCCTGTGATCCCAGCACTTGGGAGGCTGAGGCAGGAAGATTTCCAGGAGTTCGAGGCCGGCCTGGGCTACATAGTGAATTCAAGTCCAGCCTGAACTACATAGTGACACCCTGTATCAAAAAGAAAAAGAAAAGCTTGCAAGTTTGAGCCCTACCTGGGCAACTTGGGGACTTAGGGAGACCTATAACAAAATTTTAAAAATGGGTTGGAGTGCTGGGCATAGTGGCACATGCCTGTAATCCCAGCACTCAGGGAGCTGAGGCAGAAGTGAGTTGGAGACAGATCTGAACTACCTAGTGAGTTCAAGCCCAGCCTAAGTTACATAGCAAGACCCTGTCTCAAAAAACCAAACCAAACAAACAAAAAAGGTATTTAGTCAGGCTGGAAGCCATGACAGGAGTAGGTAGAGCTTCACAAATTTGCTGGGTAGGATTTATCTGTGATGAAATGGGATGATAAGAGAATTTCCAAAGAAGTAGAGGAATAGGCATGTGCATGTGAAGTTGAGCTCTTACAGCAAGGTAGGAAGCCTTAGATTGATTGGAGCTGAGGGCTGGGGGTGTAGCCCAGTGGTAGAGGCCTAGCATGTTGGAGGTCTTGGATTCCATTGAGAGAAGGAGAGAGGGAAGGATGGAGGGAGGGGGAGAGGGAGAGAGGGAGAGAGGGAGAGAGGGAGAGAGGGAGAGAGGGAGAGAGGGAGAGAGGGAGAGGGAGAAGGGGAGAGAAAGAGAGGGGAGAGGAAGAGAGAAAGAGAGAGGGAGGGGAAAGAGGGGAGAGAGGGGGGATTTGGACATTAGAGTCCTGCTGTCCAATCCTTCCCCAGGCTGAGTCTCCATCCTTCTCCCATCCTCCCTTGTAGACAGGTGCAGAGAAGGAAGACCGGAGTCATGAGCTGCCACTCCTGCACTGTGCACTTGCCCGCATGGAGAAATCTGGTCTCCACCAGGAACCTCTTGTAGGGAGCCCCATGTCGAACGTCTCAGAAAACATGCTTGACAATTTCTGCTTGGTGCTCGAAGCAATAGAGGATAACTTAATTCAGTACAGGAAGATCAGAGAGGAGCTTGACAAGTAGGGGGTGTACTGGGGGTACTCTGAGACCTGTGAGTCAGGGTGGAGTGGAGTCTCAGATTCTTCTGATCCTCACTATTTTCTAATGCAGTCCCTGGGGCCCAGAGAGGTTAAGTAACTTGCCCAGGGCCCCTCGGCCTGTTGGTGAAGGAGCTGGAATCTTGACCTCTATGTTCCTTCCATCTTATAGGAGGGCACAGTTCAGCTGGGTATTTACCAGGGTTGGGGGGTCGGTAAGAGGGAGTGCACACCCGGGAAGAGGTGGAAGGGCTGCCCACCCCCAAAACACTCCTCTCTCTGCCTCAGCATTGTGCAGGAGGTCCATTCCATCCCCTTCAACAAGGAGCAGGTGGAAGAGCTGATGCATAGGCCCTTCTCAATGAGCCTGATGGAGAGTGGGTCTTCTGTAGATTTCCAGAATATTGCTAAACAGCAAGATTTGTTCACTGCGCTGGTTAGCAGAGCAAAGGTGAGCCTTCCTTCTCTCACCCAATTAACACTTGCCCCAGCGTCCAACCCAGCCCCTGGTGCACCAGTCAAGGTTACTGTCTGTTCCAAGATCTGTCTATCCTCTCAACTCCTACCTGCTGGAGTCAGGTCTCGCCCTTCCCTTCTCAGAGCAGCTTGAGTCAGTTTCTTCCCACCCCACTCCTTCTTAGTGTGGCTTGAGCCAGCTCAGCTCCTCCCCGGAGGCAGATAACTAGCTCCACTGTGTGCCAAGGACCTTTGGATCCCATTTAGGGTACATAAGAGCAGCCTCCCCCTGAGAGAAAGCTTCTGGATGGAAAAAGGCACACACCTATTTTACTTAGTCCCCCCCTTACTGGGATAGAATGACCTGAAACCCTGGGAATGCCTGGGCTCTCTCCTCCCCACCAGGCTAGAGTTAGATCTCTGGAAGGCCTGGATGGTGTGGGTCTACCTTGCACCAGCTCTACCTTACAGAAATGTTGAAGCTGGAGGGGAGTAGGGGAGAGTCTGTCATGTCAGGGTAGGGGAAATAACAAGACCTCTTGGTTTTCAGGTGTATGAGTCTGTAACAAACACGACGCTGAGCAAACACAAGTTTAGCCTCTGAGAAGGCAGGATGGAAGCCAAGGGAACTGCACACACACAGCCAGCTGCTGTGTCTTCCTGCGTCCTGAGCACAGGTTGGCCAGACCAGGCATCTGTACTGACAATAAAGTTTGGTGTTGGAATCAGTGTGTCTGACTGGTAGATTTCCTACACTTTGGGGCACTTGTCTCAGGTCTGATGGGGAAGATAAATTATCCTGTTTATCTGATAAAAGAATCAGACTACTCTCAAGGGCTTCCAGGCTAATGGAAGAAGAGAAATTATCTCCCCCCAAATTTTTGATTTAATAGGAGAGACAGAAGTCCTGCACTTAGGGTCCTCAATTTTGGGAGGAAAAGTCTGGGCTTCACAGGTCCCCATTTTCTACACTGGTTCCCCACCCCCAGTACCTCCATACAGCCCAAGAGTCCCACCAGGCCCCCAAACCCTGTGCCCCCCCAACACACACTGGGTGTGTCCTGCCAGGTCCCTCACTACAACTGGCTGTACCCTTCCCCACCCCCTTTACCTCTACAAGGGCTCAGAACCCCAGCTCTACCTTGGGGAAACGTTTGCCCAAATTCAGTACACTCTGACTGCAACTTTGCCCAATGAACCGGCTTTTCCTACAAGGTACTACTGAGGTAGGATTATTAAAAAAAAGAAAGAGGGCTGGGGATTTAGCTCAGTGGTTCTGCTGCCTGTCTTGCAAGCACAAAGTCCCAAGTTCAATCCCTGGTACCAAAATAAATAAATAAATAAATA